GATGTTCTTCTCCCTCTCTTCCCCTCCCTTCCTCTCTCTCTAAAAATAAATAAATATCTTTTTAAAAATCTAAAAAAATATATCTGTAGACTTTATAGTGATGTCATGTTGCTCATTCCTAATATTGATAATCTGTGTCTTTACTCTTTTTTTCCCTAATTAGTCTAGCTGCAGGGGTATCCAGCCTGCAGCCCATGGGCCACATACAACCCAGGATGGCTATGATTGTGGCCCAACACAAAATTGTAAATTTACTTAAAGCATTATGCGATTTTTTGTGATTTTGTGTCACAGTATATTTAATATATGGCCCAAGATAACTCTTTGTCTCCCAGTGTGACACAGAGACACCAAAGGTTGGACACTCCTGATAGAGGTTTATCAATTTTAATGACCTTCTTTAAAGAAAAAAAGGCTTTTGATTTCACTGATTTTTGTGTATTTTTTTACACTCTATTTACAAGAGTGATTTCCACTCTTCATTACTTTTATTTACTGAGGTCAGTAATTGGAAATCTTTCTACTTTCCTAATATAGTAATTTAGGTCTATCCATTGTCTAAGTACTACTTTAGCTATATTTCAAAATATTTGATAGGAATTTTAATTTTCATTCAGTTCAAAATACTTTATAATTTTTCTTTTGTTTCATTTTTCAACCTATGGATTATTTAGAGGTGAGTTGTTTCCAAATACTTGAGAGTTTTTCAGGAGATTTTTGTTGGTGGTGAATTCTAATTTAATTCTACTGTTAACATATTTTATATGATGTGAGTACTTTCAAATTTACCAAGACTTGTTCTTTGCCCTCAAAGACTATTTTTTATAAATGTTAGCTATGTCAGGTCTGTTTCTCCCTGAAGTTCTATCAGTTTTTACCTCATTTGTTTTGTGGCTCTGTTGTTAGGAGCTTAATGTTTAGGATTGTTTTCCTCTTGATAAGTTGACCTCTTCATTGTAATAAAATGACCCTTTTTAACTTTGGTAATATTATCCTTTGTTGTGAAATCTACTTTGCCTGATATTAATATAACCACTCTGATTGACTATCTTTCTCATTCCTTTTTTTATGTTACTAATTCAAATTTAATATTATGAAAGTTCTAATATAAATTTCATTTTATATTTGTATCTCTTTCCTCTTAACTGAACATCTTAATTCCTGACATTAATATACTTATTTGTCTTTTATATATTATAAGATACAGAAAATAGATTCAATATGATACCAATATTACCACCGACAGGTAGGTAAATGAATGAAGTTTAAGAGACTTCTCTGTTGTTTGTTCTAAGAATACACATCACTCAGGATATAGAATCCAATACATTGTGTTTTAGTCCCTTGAAATTCATTCTTTTTCTTTTTTAGTAGTTTCTCGGGTTTTATTATTAAGGATTGCTTAGGTTTAATTTTACTTTTGAAATGTAAAAGTTTTTATGTTTCCAAAATCAGAACTTATATAAGATATATTTGGAGAAATATCACATCCATTTCCAATCTTGTAGCCTCCTTACACCGATATTTAAAAGTTTTGGTTTTACTTTTCATTATTTTTGAAAATATAAGCAAATACACATACACATATATAAATAAAAATATATTGGTGTTTCCCACCTGATTCTTACACAGTGTCATCTTCTGCAACTTCCCCTTTTTTCACTTAATAATGTATCCTGAAAAATCACTTCATATCAGAGTAATTAGAGAATAGAGATTTACCTGATTCTTTTTGACAACTACGTAGAATTCTAACATAGTGATTTAGTATAGTTTATTCAATCAGAGTCGTACTGGTGGACATTTGCATTGTTAGCAACCAGTTAATGGACTTTCTTTTAAATATTAACATATTTTTTCATTCTTTTACTTTTAACCTAATTTTATCTTTCTATTTAAAATGAATTTCTTGTAGGTAGCATATAATTTTCATTTTTGTTCAATCTGAAAAATCTGTTTTTTAATTGGCATGTTTAGACCATTTACACATCTATTTAATATCAGTTTATTGCTGTATCTTTGTGTCAACTAATCTTTTCTTCTGCCACATCTAAATTTTTTTAATCTTCATTATATTTTTTTACATTACCTTTTAGTTTTGTTATTCTAATCTTCTGTTACTCCCACTCAGCATGTTTTTCTCAGACCTGTGTTTTTCATCTCTAGAATTCAAATTTTTAATGTCTTCTCTGTCTCTACCAAACATATGAAATATAGTTATAATAATCTGTTGTTAATGTCCTTATCTACTAATTCTATCATCTGTGTCATTACTGGTCCTGTTGCTACTGATTTTTCTTTTTCATTGTGGGTTATATTTTCTTAATTCTTTTGTTTCTGCTTCTTTGCTATTAGATGCTCAGCATTGTGAAGTTGCTGGATATTTTTATTTGTCTTCCCATAAAAAATAAATACATATAAAATACATATGAATACATGAATACATACAAAAATATCCGGCAACTTAAGGACTCAGGAAAGTTACCTAGAAACAGTTTGATTCTTATGGGGTTTGCTCTTAAGCTTTGTTAGATGGAACAAGAATTCGCCTTTAGTGTAGGGCTTATATTTTCCCACTGTTGAGGGAGCACCCGTGAATTACCAGGTTTTGTGTGTTTGGTTAGACTTCTTGCTAGCAGTTTGTGGGCTTCAGGAATTGTTCCCTTTGATCTTTTCAGATGGCTTTTTCCCAAGCCTCAGGTAGCTTCCTTACATGGGTGTGTTTATCAGCACGTAGCCGAAGACTCCTGGTGGATTCTTGTAGCTCTCCAAAGGGTTCTTTCTCTGTATGCAGCTTTCCTTCCCCCAGGCTCTGCCCTGAGGACTCTAGTAACTTTGGCCTTTCTGGACTAAAAGTTCTCCCTCTTCTTCCCAGAAAAACTAGATAACTATAGGCTGGGAAACTTGGAGGGCTGACCTTTATTCCCTCCTCAGACACAGCTATCCTGTGCTCCTGATCTTGTCCTTTTTTAAAAAAAGTTTTTTCAGATGGGAGTGTAAATCCATTTCCTGTTACTCCATTGTAGCTCTATAGAAATTAACTTCTGTAAAGGACACATGGACAATAACGGGGTTGGGGGTGGTGAACAGGGAAGGGAGGGTAGGGAGAGCTGGGGTGGTTGGGAGGGGTGGGGGGAAAAGGCAGAAAACTACTTGATCAATGATTTTAAAAATGTTTAAAAAAATAAAGTAAAAAAAGAAGTTAACTTTTAATTTTAAAAATATGAAAAAGATTCACATCACTTTATTATAAACTACTTTGGACTAAATGTATTTTCCTTGGTAATTTCTTTAAAAATGTATTAATATCAAATGCTTTATATGTGATATGTAAACATGTAATATAATGTATGCTGTGATTATTTTCAGTATTTTCTGCTCAGCTATGATGTGAAAATGCTTGATTTTACCAACACAGAAGTAGTTGTATCCTGTGTATTAGAAATATAATATTTCATAATATATATAGCAATAAAGTAATCTGTATATAATATTTATTGTTTTTCAGAAAACTCCATTTTTAAACTCTTGCATTTAAAAATTGAGTATTTCTGGTGATATTTATAGACCCATGCTTTTGACTTATAAGTATTGTTTTGGTCTGTGGGTATTATTATGGAAATCTTTGTATACTGAACTGCATTTTCTCAGGTTTTTAATACTTCATAATATTATAGTAAATTTCTATAAGATTTCTCATAGTGTTTACATGAGATAAATTTGGTTATTAGAAGGAAAGTAATACAATATATTCCGGCTCCATGGGAATGTAGAAGGACACTAGACTTTAGAAACAGTGAAGAAAGTAGAAGCTGAGTCTTGGCACACTTACAAATTTTGTGTTACCTTGTTAGCCTTATTTTGTTACTTTCTCACATAACCTTTTTGAGCCTTACTTCTTTAAAATGGCATAATGGCACTCTTTGATACTCTTCTCAAAGGCAGTTGTGAGAATTAGATTCATTTTTGTGAAAATACATAGTCAACTGCAAATGCTAGTGATATGTAGAAGCCAGGTATCGTTCTGAGGTTTAGCCTGAGAAGTTTAAGTTTCACACAGTGTGTACAGTGGGAAAGTTTGACTGTACCTAAGCCTTACATTAATAACCAGAATAATTATCTTGGCCTGCACTTTCTTTGGTTAGTTTCAGAAATTTTTTAAATTTGGTTTTTGATACCCAGTGTAATAGAAGTGAGTCATGTTATCATTTCTTTCTTTACTCGGCAGCACAGCATTTGTACTTTATCACATATATGATCTGTGGGTTGTGGAGAGAAATAAGGATGTTGCTCAATAGCCCACATCTTTCAACAAAGAATACTTTTCAGCAGCACTCATGAGTTTCTCTTAGGCGTTAGGAAATGCAGACCCTGAGATGTTAAACTGAATTCATGAACTCAGTAATATTTAATGAGAAAATTTGAGAAGCAAGTTATTAAATCAGATTCTATGATCTCTGTAAATACCAGTGACCATTTATTTACCCATGGAGTGGGTTAGATCCCTTGGTTTTTATCGGCTAAAACATTTTCAACAGAATGATGCAGGAGCTGTTACTGAGAATCAGAATAAAAGGCTACAGAACTATGTGAGGCCTGCCCTCCATATATGAATCAGATTTTAAGTGGAAACCACAGTTGTTTCCTTGTTTCTCATTCATGCTTTAGCAGAGGATGTGACGCCATAGATCTGGCTTGGCTTTGTAGTTTCTCCTTTAAGGTTCACACTGCTTTCTTTTCCTTTTTAGAAGCTGTCGCAGTTTTAGTGTATTGTACCTTTTTAGATATTTGGTGGAGATGTGTGTGCAAAATATTCTTTATCCTATAAGTAAATAAAAGCATACATGCATCCATTTGGGGTAGGTGGCATATAGGCGTACAACTGCAGGCATGTGGAAAGCACTTTTAACCGTTGAATATGTTACTTTGTATTTAAAGATAATGTTTTATATTTTTTAATCTGAGTATTGTTATGTTAATTTTCTTTTATTCTTCCTTAGCATCAAGGCATGCCATGGGTTGCCTCTCATAAATGGACAAAGCTGTGACCCTTACGCAACAGTTTCTCTAGTGGGCCCTTCTAGGTAATGTTTGTTGACTCATATGACTTTTAAGTTTTAAAGTGTGATATAAGAGTTAGATCCAAAAGTAAGGATCTAAGAGCAAATACTAAATAAGTATTTATGACACAAAGTAATGCTTTGAGAGAAAAATCTTTAGTGAATTCTTTTATATATTTGTAAACAACCAGGTCCTGTTTTTATAGAAAGAACACAGGTGTCATTTAGATCTGCTAGCCTATTAGACTGTGGGGAACAACATCAGTTTTATAGTACTTAAAGAGCACTTTAAAACATAAACTTGACCTTCTTTATTCATCATCACCCTTCTTACTGGCAAATGTCTTAGGTTTTATAACAAGTAAAATCCTGTTTTGATAAATGCTAGCTCAGGAAAAAAAAATTCTATGTTGTTATCTGGAAAGCAACACTGGACCAGAAATGCCTTTGCTCTTATGACTTCTGTGCTCTGCAGAGAGAATTCCCAGCTGTAGACAGACTGCTGAAATACCAGAACATGGTGAGGTGCACTGTGTCATGGATTTAAATTACTCAGGATAATTTATGGAGAAATCTATAGTACTTTGTACTATTTTGCATTTTGTAATTTCATTATGGTTTTTTTCAGAGCTTGATTAGTCTGAAATGTATCTACAACTGGAAGTTTTCCTAGAATCGGGAAACAAAAATTACAGAATTCCCTTTACACAAACCCAACATTCACACACACACACACACACACACACCCCTTCTCCCAAACCTCGAGCTCTTCTAGGTATTCTTATTTTTTAGAAAATCACCGAATCACTTTGAAATGTGTGCATGTGTGTGTAATATATCTAGCACTGTGCCTAGTACTCATGGGGTGCTCAAATAATAAATAGTATGCTATTATTACTATAGATGGTTTTATATTTAAGAGGAGATAGATACCCAATTCTATAACATTTGTGCTATCAGAAGAATTTAGTTTTGTGTGTTAAAAATATTTAACTTTTTGGAGCTGTTTTTGTTTTTTCTTTTTGTTTATAATCTATACCTGACAGGCAAATTCTTAAGTATAATTGTTTACTAACATCCAGATAGAACCTATTTGGCATATGAATTTTTTGTAAAAAGTTACTGTTGATTTTGATATTGTAATATAATTGCATAAGATACTAACATTGAGGGAGACCGAGGAAAGGCTGTGTGGGACTTCCCTATACATTTCTTTGTAACCTCTGCATCTATAATTATTTCAGAATAAAAAGGTTTTCATAAAGCCACATTGTAGCTAAAGCCAAAGAAGTAAACTGAGTTAAGAATGCTTTTGTGTTCCTCAGGTATTTTTCTACATAGATAAAGGTACTCTGAATCTCATTGTCTTCCTCCTACTATTTCTTCTAGGTTGCTTATATAACAGTGTGTTATTAAGACCCCCTAACATAAGCTTGGCAGTCAATCTGGTATAGCCATAGAGAGAAGAATACAGTCTTGAGATATATCTGTATATATCTAGATATATCTAGATAGATATAGATAGATATAGATAGATAGATATCAGATACACAAAACTTGTGTATTCTTTGATTTGAGTTTTAAGAGACATCTATCTCATGCCCCTACTTTTACATTTACAATTGCAGTGTTTTCCCTGAGTCATTTTAACATTAAACAGAGGTCAGGCTCCCTGGTTGGAAATAGCATGTTTTATAATTGTGTACTGTTAAGTTCTACAAGGTAAAACTCTACCACATTGGAACAGGAATGACCAAAAGAAGACAAAAGTAAAGAAGAAAACAAGCAATCCGCAGTTTAATGAAATCTTTTATTTTGAGGTAACTTTTTTTATATGTAAATATTAACATTGAATATTTAATACTGAATGCTGATTAACTTCTTTTTTTCAAATTACGGCCTTTGTAATCATTTTACCAACTAATGCAACCAAGCATTTCTCTCCTGAAAGCAGTAGAGCCATGGTACAATGCAGTGGGGGCTCAATAAATGAACAAATGAAGGCAGAGCTCTGATTGATTTGAGGATGGAGAGGTCTAGGGACACACCCACTTCCAAGTCATCCTCAGTGCCACACCTATCCCCATACAACCCCCACCTCATCCAGCACCCCACCTGACATATAGTGGCCGCAGGACTCTTCTGCAGAGTGCTCTTTGAATACCACTAGTGAAGTAAGTATGATATCACTTGGCAGTTCTGAGTTCTAGTCCCAGTTGACTTTAAACAGATTATTAAATGTGAGACTCAAGTTTCTTATTTTGTGAAAGGATAACTTTGTAAAATAGTAGCAGCCCTACCTTACTGATGGAGTTTTTTTGATGCCCGAATGTGAGAATGCTTTGAGACTGTAAAATACATTGTACAGACACATGCTTATTTTCAGAGAGATCTTCAGCTGCCTGGAAGCTGCCCCAAATACAGTACTTTGGAGTTCTTTGCTGTGGAGCATTTCTTAAATTTGTTAAAGGACTCCTTTTTCATATTATTTATTTGAAAACCACAGTAAAAATAATTCAACCTCTCTATTCTAAAAGATTCTGTTCTAGCTGTAGAACATGTTGTAGTTGAGATTAACATGTAGAGTAGATTTGAAAAAAACAGCCGTACTTTGGGCTTTTCCTTTTGCATGTGTATTTTTCTAGATATTTCCAAGTGAAGAGAGTGAGGGCACACCTAGCCATGCCTGAATACTGGACTTTAATAAAGGAACACAGATTGAAGAAAATGCCAGAATTGAAATACAAAGAATTGTGGGGGTGGAGAAGGAAAAATAAAATAATATGAGACTTTCCCACTCCTGGACTAAGGACTTAGTTCAGTTGTTATACATTTACTAATGGCTGTTACATCTAGCCTGGAGAAAACAAGGAAGGGGCAAACTTGCAGTAAGCAAATGGTCCTTGAAAATCAGGCCTTGACCTGCTTGCTATATACAAACATAACTTTTAGGCCTTGAAACATTCTTTCAGAGTGCACTTTGTTGAGCTGATCTTAAAGATAAGGTTCAGTGTCTGTCCTCTAGTGGAGCAAGAGACACAAAACACACACACACACACACACACACACACACACACACACACACACGTACTCACAGTAGTAAAATGCAGTAGATATTGGGGAGGCCAAATAAGCTCTGCTCCAGCTCAGTTAGTTAAGTCAGATGAAAGAGAGCATTAGAGAAAACAGGCAATTTGAGATTGGAGAGCAGAAAGTTGTGTCCAAAGAACAGCAAGTAGTAATTTGACTGGAAGGTTTGTGGAAGGGAATAATAGGAACTAAGCTTAAAAAGATAGAGTAGGACCACCTGATGAAAGGTGTGCCTGTTTGAGGTTGCTTAAGTATGTAAGCCATTGAATGTTTTTGAGCCTGGAGGCTGTAAGGGTAATACAGTGTTTTGTGAAGAATTGACCATGATCTGTGGGCCAAATGGCTGAGAGAGAGCGAGAACAGAGATCAAAAGACTGTTGTAGTTTAGCTGTATAAACAGGGTTGACAGTGAGGGGAATGGATCTGATCTAAAAGAAATATGGAAATAGAGAAGAAGGGACAGATGAGAAAAACTGCAAAGGGCAAGATAATGAATTGGTTATAGAAGAAAAGACAAAGGGAAGAGTCAAATGTTGTCTTCATGATTTCATGTCTGGAGAAATAGAAAAGTTAAGAGAAGGACAACAGAAGTGGTTCACTTTAAGGCATAATGAATGAGCTTGAGGTCTGACATGTAAAATCCTGATAGGCAGTTCATGACTGAAACTTAAGATGGGTGACAGTTGCAAATAGACTCAAGATTTGTAAGGGAGAAGAGGTACACAGTGAAGGAGAAAGGTGAAGACCATCAGTTCTGGCATTCATTAGGTATTCAGCTTTGAGTATGTCTCTTCATTTCTGTATTTTAGCTTCCTCATTTTTGAGATGAGGATAATAAATCTAGCTTTGCCTGCCTCAGAGCAGTGATCTGATGAACAAAGGAGATAATGGATGTGAAAGCACTTTGTAAACTATGCAGCACTTGCAGCTCTTAGGACAAAATAAAAAATAAAACCTTAGAGAAAACCCATACTTACAAGTTCTGTGGAAAAAGAGGTCCCAGAGGAAGAAGCAAAGAGAGCAGAAGGTGCCAGGATAGTGTCTGGGCAACCTAAAGGAAAGAATGTTTCTGGGAAAGGAGGTATAGTTGTATGATTACTTGTTCAGATAGAGGGGTCAGTGAAGGTGAGAACTAAGAATTCATCATCAGACTTGGTGATTAAGAGTGGGGTTTCAGGCGGGTGACCTGTGAGGAAGCCAGATTATGAAGAGTTACTGTAGTGAGTGGGTGGTGAGGAAGTGGAGGCTGTGAAGATGGGTTACAGTTTTGAGATATTTGTCTGTGAAAGGAAAGAGATAGAAGGACCATAATTTAAGGGGAGAATTTTTCTTAGACTTGAGTGAGGTGAACAAGCTGGTAAATAAAGCTGTAATTAAAAGAGATCAAATGCAAAACAGTCTGGTAGTGTCATAAGAACAGACATATAGATCAATGGAACAGAGTAGAGAGCCTAGAAATAAACTCTTGTTTCTATGGTCAATTAATATTTGATAAAGGGGGCAGAAGCATAAGATGGAGTAAAAACTGCATCTTCAACAAATGGTGTTGGGAGATCTGGACAGCTACATGCAAAAAATGAAACTCGACAACCAACTTACACCATACACAAAAATAAACTCAAGATGGATAAAAGACTTAAATATAAGTCATGACACCATAAAAGTCCTAGAGGACATAGGCAGGAAAATCTCAGATATTTCGTGCAGCAGCGTTTTCACCAATAGGTCCCCTAGAGCAAGAGGTAAAAAGGAAAGAGTAAACAAGTGGGACTACATCAAATTTAAAAGCTCCTGCATGGCTAAAGAAAACACTAGCAAAATGAAAAGGTAACTAACTGTATGGAGAACTATATCTGCCAATAATACCTTGGACAAGGGTTTTATCTCCAAAATATATAAAGAGCTCACACAAGTCCACACCAGAAAGACAGATAATCCAATTGAAAATGGGCAAAGAACCTGAACAGACACTTCCCAAGGAGGACATACAGAGGAACCAGAGACATATGAAAAGATGCTCAACATCACTAGCCATCAGAGAGATGCAAATTAAAACCACTATGAGATACCACTTCACAGCAGTCAGAATGGCCATCATAAACAAATCAACAAACAACAAGTGCTGATGAGGTTGTGGTGAAAAGGGAACCCTAGTGCACTGTTGGTGGGAATGCAGACTGGTGCAGGCACTGTGGAAAACAGTGTGGAATTTCCTCAGAAAACTAAAAATGGAACTATCTTTTGACTCTGCAATTCTGCTGCTGGGATTGTACCCTAAAAATCCCGAAACACCAATTCAAAAGAACCTGTGCATCCTAATGTTCATAGCAGCATTATTTATAATAGCTAAGTGCTAGAAACAGCCTAAGTGCCCATCAGTGGGCACTTAATGAGTGGATCATTAAACTGGTACATTTACACAATGGAATACTGTGCAGCAGAAAGAAAGAAGGAACTCCTACCCTTTGTGACAGCATGGATGAAACTGGAGAGTATTATGCTAAGTGAAATAAGCCAAGTGGTGAAAGACAAACACCATATGATCTCACCTATAAGTGGAACCTAATCAACAAAACAAACAAGTGAGCAAAAGAGAAGCAGAAACATGAACATACTGACAGTGACCAGAGGGGAGGGAGAGGATAATGGGGGAAAGAAGGGGAAGGGTCAAGTCAGGAAATACATATAAGGACCCATGGACAAAGACAACAGGGTAGGGGTAGGGAAAGGGCAGAGGAGCATAATGGGGGGGAAATGGAGACAACTGTAATTGAACAACAAAAAAAAAAGTTAAAAAAACATCGAATGCTTACTGCATACTACGTGTGGGTGAAGTAGTTTTAGAAAAGAGGAGGATCATCTCTTCTTGTTCAGAAGAGAATAAGAAAACTCATCAAGTAGAAAGAACTTTATGGGAGTAGACTTCAGGTGGACTATAGTTGAGGAAGTTCCTGCCAATGGTCTTGATATTTTCAGTAAAAATGCGAGAAGGAAGTATAAGGATGGCATTGGTATATTGAGAAATAAGGCACAGTGAAACTTCACTGAAATAGAACACTTTTTACCCTTTTGAGTCACCAACAGGTTACAGATGAGCCAGAGAACCTAATGTTGCTTTATATGAAGTTGATAAGGATATGGAGGCGAGGTGGCTTTTGATATTTTTATTCCACCTTATTCTTTTTTTAATGTATTTATTGATTTGAGAGAGAGAGAAACATCGATTTGTTGTTTCACTTATCCATGCATTCATTGGTTGCTTCTTGTATGTTCCCTGAACCTGCAGCCTTGGCATAACCAACTGAGCTACTCACCCAGGGCCTACACCACTTTCCGCTGCTTCTGTGGCTACTTTTGTATTTAGTTTTTGGGTAAAATATTACCTAGGCAGCCTTTTTCCTCTGTTTATAATAAACAAAATTGAACTTGTTAGGGATGATAGTTCTTTTTTTAAGTTCATGTAGGAAAAGATACTTAAAAAATTTTTTTTTACTAGAATATTTTTTTACAGGTAACCAGATCCAGTAGTTACACCAGAAAGTCCCAGTTCCAGGTAGAAGAGGAGGACATTGAAAAGCTAGAAATTAGGTATGTGTCTTGGGGTTTCACAGGATTGCTTTTTTTCTGTGCCAAAAGAAAGTCCTAAATATAATTGGAAAAAGTGATTCAAGCTTAATAAAATTTTCTTTAGCAAGTTGTTTGATGAAACTTAGAGGAACATACATCTAATTTAAATCCAAATTATCTTTTCAAGATCTGATTCCAGAAATAGTCAAGGTGTATTTATTTTATAAACAGAGATGAACTCATTTTTACCTATTTTATTATATTTTTTATTTTTCCCAAATTTAATTGCTCCTTAAATTTCTGAATCATAGCATAATGGATGCAAAAATATATATATAGAAAAGTAATTACATATTAGCCCATTTAGAAATAATTTTTTTATTCTTCTTAACATATCTGCTGTCTAACAGAAATTTCAGTGAGGTAAGAAGCCTTATAAGATAATTCAACAGGTGCATGTGTTTGAAGTTTGTGCTATTTCCTAAATCTTAAATATCTATGCTGTTTGGGAGGGGAAAGTTTTTGTAAATGCATGTATAGGTGTGGTGTTAACAGTGTGTTCATCTAAAGGGTGTGTAATCACATGTTTGGAATGATCAGGTAATGTATTTTTCTAAATTGCTTATCTTTACACATTAACTGATTCTAATTGAGAAAGAAACTATGGTCTTGTGTTTGTTTCTTTTATCAAATTCAACAAAGTAACTCTGTAGTCCTTATTGTTACAGGTTAAAATAAAACCCAGACCTTGAAACTAGGTACCTTAAGTGCTTTGTTATAGACTATTTAAAATGGTTAACTTTTTGTGCTTATAAATAAAAGCTACTGCAGTATTTTGCTCTCTTAGTTTATGAGGCATATGACAATGCTAACATCTCTTAAGCATGTAAAAATTAATGCTATAATACAAATCAAAGTAATTTGAAGCTATTTGGTGGTGTGTGTTCTCTTAAACATTGTTTGCAAAAAATAAAGCCAGTTTTTAAATTTTCAGGATTGACTTGTGGAACAATGGAAATCTGGTCCAAGATATTTTCCTAGGCGAGATTAAGGTTCCTGTGAATGTGTTAAGAAATGATACCTCTCATCAAGCCTGGTAAGAAGACAAATGTTCTGGTGAATTCTCTTTAATATACTGTACATGCAAATAAATCTTTTCTATAAGCATATTTTAAATTTGTCATGGAATAAGCCATAAGTCATTAGCATTAATTGATTTGGTCACTAATTTACTGTTACAGAAATATAAGTACATTGATAATTTCATGACTTGGTCTCTGATACTGAAACAAAAGTAGTGAATTGTCTGGGAATATTTTTCTGTTTAAAAGATAAATCCTACCTCTAAGGGAAAATGGAAAACATTTAAAACATTACATAAGAGTTGCCCATGTAAAAAGATGCTTGGTCACAAATCAACCACCTGTAGTGTAGAAGCTTCATTAATGGTCATGAAAACTGGATGTTTATGAGGACTAGCCAGTGATTTTTCTTCATCACATCCCACTGAAATGCTCTGCAGATGGCCTGATACTATTTTCTAAATGTCTAGGGTCTAGGTGGTGGTGAGCTCATTCAGTTAATACACTTTTTAGGAGCTATGGTGACTCGAGAATGGTCACATTATTTTACCTTTTATAACTCTAATAGTGACAATAAACTGATGTTTAGTTAAAGTTAATGTGCAGATATTAAACTGATGTTAGTTTCCTTAGCAGAACTGAAGTGCAGCTATTGTTTCTTCTGGCTACAGCACTTAAAAGTCATGTTAGACTTGGGTTTCAATGGAGTGCAAAAGAACGTGCTTTTCTCATTTACTAAACTTTTCAGGCCTATTTTGTAGAGCTCTGTTTCAGTTGCCTGGAAGAGGAGGTTGAAAGTAAGCATTTAGGTGTTTCTCACCACGGGCACTAATCTCATTTGTCTTTAAATAAGAGCCTGCATTTCCTGATTGGCCATCAGACATTCTTCACTTTGAACTTCATTGTCCTCAAGCAGTTTATGGTTTATCCCTTGAAGACAGATTTTTAGACTCTGAAAATTTTTATTTTCTTTTTATCTCTTGCTAATGCAAATCTAAGATGTATTGGTCTTTATGGTTGCATTTTGTATGTTACATTTTCTAAAATGGATCCACAGAGGGGGAGGGATTAAACTTAGTCACTGTGAAAATTTGATGAACATTTGTCACCTTCCTTCCCCACCCAACATATCTTCTTTCACCTCCCATAAAGTGCCACATATTTTAAAATGAAAAATTTTTAACTCAGTTTGTTAAATCTTCAAACTTATATGCCAAGCTACTCAGCACAAATAAAAAGTGAGCAGATGTGCCTCCCAGAGCCCCTCAAAGCCAACTCGAAATGTGCCTATATAGCCTGTACTTTCAGTAAGACTGTCTCCAGACTGGCCGTCTAAATTTGTCAGAACTAATTTATCTAGCATGAAATAGGAACATCTGCTAATTTATTTATATTCCCATATATGTAAGGGATATATAAAGAAATTAAAAATGCCTTTCCTTTTAAATCAAAATTATTAAACTCTTAGTGTCCTTTGTCAGTCATAGAACTGTAGCATCCCCTTGTGGGATTGATGGTAACTGCAAGAGTACTCAGGAAAAGCTTTATTTACTTTCCAAGATTTCAGGCTTTTTTTTTTTTTTTTCCCCAGAATCTTGATATTAAGAAAGATGTAGAATAATGATCAGTAATGTTTTAAAATCTTCAGTTTGCTATTTTGCATAATTTCTACTACTTGTCTGTTAGTCCTTTTCTGAAAACTGATTTTTGATGGTTACAATTTAATTTTATTCTGAAATCAAACATGATTCAGTCAATTTCCCATTTCTTTCTTGGCTCTTCAATTCCTTAGGAATAATATGTGTTCTTCATTCTGAAACTTATATGAAATGTTAGGATTAGCTTGTTAGTTTGATATTAGCTGCCTTTAATTTGAACCTATGTAGATAACAGAATTTTATTTGACTTCTTGAATAAGTAACATATGGTTCACAGTTCAAAAGGTAAAAGTATGTTACCTGCCTTTGTCTCCCAGCTAATCAGTTTCCTTCTTCTGAGGCAGCCACTGTTTTGAGTTTTGAAAATATATATACTGGCAAATACATATGTATCCTTCTTTCCCCTTCTTTATACAAATGGACATATACTATATCCTGCTCTGTACCTTGTTTTTTTCACTTAGCAGTTTAGTAGAGCCTCAGTAAATATTTGTGTCTTTTTAATCGTGGTTAAGGGTATGGACTCCAGAACCAAATGTCTTGGTTCAGATCCATGCTGCCACCTCTGTGACCTTGGATTAGTTATTACACCTGTTTGCCTTGCTTTCTTTGGCTATAAAATAGGAGCAATACAAATAGTACCTGCCTCCCAAAGTTGTTAGAGGATGAAATGAGTTTGTATGAAGGACGCTGCAAGTGCTGTGACCATGGGTATAACTCATGTTCTCATCATTGTAGTTATTGCTGCTGTCATCACCATTATTCCACATCAGTACATATAGAATTTCTGCATCCTTTTTTTTGTTTTTGCTCCAGTATTCCATTGTTCAGAATGTCATAAATAAAAAGACTCTTAGTCTAGTTCAATCACATTTCACCAGTTACTTCAAAGTCAGAGAACTTAATGTGTGTAAAACCCTTTTGTAATCATACAGATCAGTATAATAATTTTTCCCCAAAGGAATCAAACTGTAAAAGTGTACATTAAGAAAGTAAATATAAATTTTTTTCATATTATACTTTTTAATTTTGAAAGTAACATTCAAATAGTAAATAGTTGGAGCTTTTTGGCAACATAAAGTACTTATACATATTTTAAACTAAGTTAATATTTTATTTGAGATGAGTTTGTTTCCTACTTTGCCAGTTTTAGCACCTAAGCTTTAATTTATCTTTAGTAAAAATCCATTGATAATGGTTATCTTCATGGAACCAGAAATAATATTCATGTATTAGTACAGTTGCCTTTGAACAGTTGTTTTCCAGCTTATGTAGGATTATGAATAAATAACTGAAGTTTTTGCCTGCCTACCTCATTTTCAATTATTTTATAGACCTTGTGGTTAAAAATCTTCAAATGCTAATATTTAATCCTCTTAAGGAGCTGTCAAAACTGCCGATTCCTAAGAGCATAGGATTACTTTTATGCCTCTTTCTTTAACTGTGAATGAAAAATATATTTGTATAGTAAATACACTTTCAGTTAGTAATTTATCTTTATTTCCTGTTTCTTTTTCTTTGAAACTGAAACACTTTATTCAAAAACTGAAGAAAATATATTTGAGAATTTTTTTTTTGCATCCCTGGACCTTAGGCATGCCAGATACCCTGTATTTAACAAATCTTGAGGGGTTTTTTCAATTTAGCTCTGATTTATACAAGATTCCCTAGTTTACAAGGGATCTTTCAGGTGATTCAAACTGAGCCTCTTGTGACGATGTTTTAAAATAATAAGTCACATTTATATAGATAATATAAATAACTGCAGATAAGTGTAGTATTTATATTATAATTTAGTAGTAGTAGTTATAAATACATGTATCTGTAGTTAGATATAATATAAATATTATATTTATCTGTAGTTATTTATATATTTAAGTGGTAACAGTTATATGTATATAACTTTTATATAATTAACATTTACATGGTGTTACTGAGTACCAGGCACTATTCTGAGTGCTTTACTTATGTAACCTCTTTAGAGTTGTTGTAAGGATTAAATCAGTTAGACACTATCATTACCTGTTATTTAACAGATTAAGAAAACAAATGCAGAAAGACTGAGCAGTTTGCTTAAGCTCACAACTGGAATTTGAACCAAACTCTCTGACTCCAAAGTCTGTGCCCTTAACCCAGTGTACTATAGTACATTTGTACTTTGGCATACATATTTTTTAATATGTTTAAAACTAAAAAATACTCTGTTTTAAGCAGTGAAGATGTGAGTGCCCTTGGCTTATAAAATATGATTTAAAAGAAAATTGAAATGGTCCTTACTCATTGAAAAAAATTTTTTTTCAAGGAATGGATGGGACAAAGACATATTTAAAAAAAAATTTGAGTAGACATGGATGAGATGTTTTGTCCTTAGTGACTTTTTATACTACCAAAGAAATCCAAGGAGGCAAGCTTAAAAAATATGGCAGGAGTGACCCTTCTGGAGTTCCTAAGCATCCTAAACAGTGTATGCAAAACACTACCCTAATCCTTCTGCACAGAATATACCATGTTAGTACTGTAGGCCTGTTTTGCTGGTATTTTGTAGTTTTATGAGCATAACAGAGGAATAAGGTATAATTGCTTCTCCAGTAGTTTGGAGATAAGGGAATTAAAGTTGCCCTCTGAGTAAGATTTCTATAGAAGAAAACAAAAGGGAATTAAAGTTGCCCTCTGAGTAAGATTTCTATAGAAGAAAACAAAAAAGAGTCTGAGATCTGACCCAAGTATGGGGACACTGTTTAAGATGGGTAGGTTCAGGCTCAGAGAGGCAGAACCAGGTTGTAACTATAATACAAATAATTTTATTCTACCATATATGGAAAACACTAGTTAAAATAGGAAGGGAATGTTAGAATAAAGAAGGATCCCAAAGAGGCAGACATGGGTGGGTACTGCCCATTTGACTGTCGCAGAGAGGGGGGATTCCTGCTCTAGGGGCGTCACTATTTCCTTTGCAAAACCGTTGCCTTAGCTGAGAGATTCCTCCTGAAATCTTTGTATTGTATCTCTTTACTCACCACAGCACCTTCTGATAATTTGGCTTTTCAAATAGTTAAAAATGTATAAATCAGACAGACTTTTAAAATAGCATTAACAAGTCTTAAAAATGTATTAGTTGAAGTGAAAGATAGAGATGAAACGCCATGGGAAATGGTGATAATTGTTGAAGCTGGGTAATAAGTGCATGAGGTGGTGGTGAGAATGTTCATTTTTAATATCACTTGTCTCCCTACTTTTGTGAATGAACATTTCCATAATAAAGTGTATTGCTCACAAAAAAGTGAAGGTATTTTTTTCACTTGACTATTGTATTTCTTTTCATAAATTTACTAATTGGCCCTCCACTTTAAATATCAGTCTCTGCTCAGTCATTGCAATTCAGGTTCACTTTTAGATGTTGGTAAAACTAGGTATCTGAATTTGCAAGGCTACAGAACATACACTGGATTGCAGGAATGCCCGAAGTAATGCTCTTTTCCAGAGGCTTGTTGATCAGTCAGCTACACTTCCCTTAGAGGTACTTCTGAGTTACCTTTGCTAACAGACCTATTTGCAATTATTTCCCTGGGAAATCTTTATATCATTATTTCTCAAATCAGAGAGTAGAAGTTCTGAAGGTTGGTCTTCTGAGACAGAAATTCCTCTTTTGTAGGTAGTAATATAATTTCAGTATAATTTCTCCTCCCTATATTACCATCCCCTCATCTTTTAAATTTTGCTTGGTTGATTCTGTAGTTTTCTTTTGTCTTTAATCCTGTCTTTCTCAAAAATGTTTCTAAAAACATTCTATCAAATGCTCCTCTCTTCTATTTGTAAACAAGTTAGTCTGTTGGTGAGACCATAAGTGATAAGTATCAGAAATAAATATTAAAATTACTGGCTTTCCTTTATGAAAAGCATTCCAGCTAATAAATAATGAGGAAAGATAGAGTTATGAAATTATCATTTTGCAACCTGTGAAGATTAATGACGCTAGGCAGTGATCATCAATGACACTGTCACAAAAAGAGAGACAGTGAGATATTAGTGCCCCTTAGTGGAACTACACAACACTATCAATAAAATGTTCTTGGCAGAATATCAAATCTGAATCTAACCAAGACTCCATATCTAAGTACCAATGTACAGAAATACAGAGGGGACAAAATAACATGTTAAATGATATCATGAAGACAAAGATAGAATTAATACAAATCCAAATGTAGAAAATTCTATTTAAGACAACTTCTTGATTTCTTAGGGGGTAGAAGGAATGCGTAGATTAAAACTACCTGGCCATAAGAAAGAAGAAAGTTTTATGCTTTGTGACAGTATGAATGGACCTGAAGAACATTATGCTAAGTGAAACTAGCCAATGAGAGAAAGAAAAATACCATATGATTTCACTCATGTGTGGGATCTAATGAACAAACTGAACTAAGAAGCAAAATAGAGACAGACTCATAGAAAGCAAGATGACAGCAAAGGAGATGGGGAGGGGAGGGGTTGGAGGGATTGAGCAAAAAAAGAAAAAGGACTCATGGATATGGACAGTAGTGTGGTGACTTCGGGGAGGAGGGAGGTATAAGGGAAATAAATGATGATGGAAAAAATGCAATAAAAACAAACAAACAATAAAAATAAAACAAAAAAGAAACTTAAGCTATCAACCAATTATAGTCCATGGACCTTGGATTTGAATAAACTGTAGAAATCTCTTTATGATAAGTTTGGGAGAATTTGAATACTGCCTGGCTAATAAGGGTTTTTAAGAGTTTTATATATGTAGGTGAAGTCATGAAACACCTGGAAATTGCTTTAAAATAATGCATTAATGGAATGAGAGGAGTGAGTGGAAATGTGGCTGAGGCACGAATAGTTTTGAGATAATTATTGAAGTTAGGTGATGGATATATGGGCGTTCGATATACTATTCTCTTTACTTTGGTATGTATTTTTATTTATTTATTTTAAGTATATTTGATTGACTATGCCATTACAGTTGTCCCCTTCTTTTCTCATCTTTATCCCCCTCTGCCCTGTATCCCCCGTCCCTCCAGTATTTCCCACCCCCCTTACTTCATGTCCATGGGTCATACATATAAGTTCTTCGGCTTCTTCATTTCCTATACTATTCTTAACCTCCCCCTGTCTAATTTGTACCTACCATTTATGCTTCTCATACCCTGTACCTTTCCCCCATCCTCCCCTCCCCCCTCCACTGATAACTCTCCATGTGATCTCTATTTTTGTGAATATGTTCCTGTTCTAGTTCTTTGCTTAGTTATTATATTTTCCTTTTAAAATTCCGTTGTTGTTAGTTATGAGTTTGTTGTCATTTTACCGTTCATACTTTTTGATCATCTTTTTCTTAGATAAGTTCCTTTAACATTTTGTGCAATAAGGGCTTGGTGATGATGATCTCTTTTAACTTATTTGCCCTTCCATTCTAAATGATAGCTTTCCTGGATAATCTAGGTTGTAGGTCCTTGCCTTTCATGATTTCAAATACTTCTTTCCAGCCCCTTCTTGCCTACAAGGTTTCTTTTGAGAAATTAGCTGACAGTCTGATGGGAACTCCTTTGTAGGTAACTGTCTCTTTTTCTCTTGCTGCTTTTAAGATTCTCTCCTTGTCTTTAATCTTGGGTAATGTAATTATGATGTGCCTTGCTTGGTGTGTTTCTTCTTGGTCCAACTTCTTTGGGACTCTGAGTGTCCTGGACTTACACATCTAGTTCTTTTGCCAGATTTTCTTTCCCCATGATTCAGCTGTTGGAATGTTTAAAGTAGTCCTGGAGGTTCCTAAGCCTCTCCTTACTTTTTTGAATTCTTGTTTCTTCATTCTGTTCCAGTCGAATATTTATTTCTTCCTTCTTTTCCAAATCATTGATTTGAGTCCTGGTTTCCTTCCCTTCACTGTTGGTTCCCTGTATATTTTCCTTTATTTCACTTTGTATAGCCTTTATGTCTTCCTTTATTTTGTGACCATACTCAACCATTTCTGTTAGCATCCTGATTTACCAGTGTTTTGAACTATGCATCTGATAGGTTGGCTTTCTCTTTATTGCTTAGTTCTTTTTCTGGAATTTTGATCTGTTCTTTCATTTTTGGCCATATTTCTTTGTCTCAGTGCAACTGTTATATTGTAAGGGGCGGAGCCTTAGGTATTCATCAGGCCAGGGCAACCCACCTCTCTGCGTTGTGGCGCTGTATGTGGGAGAGGGGTCAGAGAGGGAACAATGTCTCTTGTTAGCTTGCTTGGCTCTTACCTCACTTTCCATCACTTTCCTCACTTCCCACAGTGGACTGTGCTGTTTCAGGTGCTGATTCCCAGGTGGGTGGGCTTGTGTGTGTTTTAGAATCCCATGGGTCTCTCCAACGGACCCTCCTGTGAGACTGGAAATTTCTTTTACCGCTGCAACCTCCACAGCTTTTATAGCCAGAGGTTTTGAGGCTTTATTTCCCTGTGCTGGAACCCTGGGTTGCACAGCCTTTCTCACTCCCCCATTGTTCCTCCCGGCTTCTCTGTGTGAGACTATGAGACTGCTTGGTCCGCCCACCACCACCTTCCAGCTCAGCTTCTCCACCCCGGCTGCCCCTCTCTGCCCCTCCTACTGGTCTGGATGAATATTTCTTCTTTAACTCCTTGGTTGTCAAGCTTCCATGCAGTTTGATTTTCTGGCAGTTAGGGTTATTTTTTTGTTTTTAAATTTGTTGGTGTCCTTCTTTTGGTTGTGCAAGGAAGTGGAATAACAGTAACTACTCCTCTGCCTGGGCCAGAACCTACTTTTGTATGTGTTTTTAAATTTCCATGGTAAAAAGTCTTAAGTAACTTAGATTTTGGGTTTTGGTTCTACAAATGTCTCTTGATTTCTAAACATTTCTCTTTCCTTGGATATTTAAAGATGTTTCTATTTTTACTTTTTTTGCCTTTTACATTTTTAGTTATACTGAATAATATAAAATCTATTTTTAGACCTTCAATCACTACTGTTTTAAAAGAGAAGTTCAAATTTTTACATACAGGATTTACTTTATAACAATATCATTTATGCTTCTTGTGTAGTGTGTCTTAATTATTTCATCTAAATGTATCCTAAATTTAGTTGGTAAAAAACTATTTTTGGTAATACTGGATTTTAAATGTTTTTTTGTTTTTTTGTTTCTAAACCAGCAAGCTAATCAAACTCTTATTCAACCCCTTTGAGATCTTAATTTTTACATTATCTATACTTTTTGTTTCCTGGATAAAAATATATTTATAGTTTTCTAGTTCAATATACAACCAGCATTAAACCTCTGAAGATTAATAGTCTACTACTCTTCAAAGTCCTAACCTTAAATATTAAGTTGACTTTTTGGTTTAGTTTTTATAGCTTAGCTGTTTATTTACCTCACTGGCTTGGACACTCATTACCATCACATGGAATTAACTGTATTTTTACTTTAGGTACTTGCTACAACCAAGAGACAATGGAAACAAGTCATCTAAAACTGATGATCTGGGGTCTCTTCGATTAAATATATGTTATACAGAAGACTATGTGCTTCCTTCAGAGTACTATGGTCCTTTGAAAACTTTGCTGCTAAAATCACCAGATGTTCAGGTACTTTAAAAATCTTAAGTATATGATTTAATATGAAAAGGCCAAAGTAATTCAGTAAATGATGAGGAAAAGATTTCAAAGTGTCAAGTTTATTACAACAATAAAAAATAATATATACAGGGGTAGGCAAAAGTAGGTTTACAATTGTGAGTAGTCTAGTTTATGTATTATTAATTTATGAATTATTGTAAACCTGCTGTATTAATTGCTGTAAACCTACTTTTCCCTACCCCTGTATACACATACGTATATTTAATTCATCTGAACTATAGTCTGTGGTTCCAATATATGCTCTTAGAGTAATGAATATATTTGAATTACTTTTACCAGATGGTGATTGCACATTTAGTTATGTTTCCTTGATTTTGTGCTTGTTTTCTATCTTTCTGTTTTCCAGCCAATATCTGCCTCAGCTGCTTACATTTTGGGTGAAATATGTCGAGACAAAAATGACGCTGTTTTGCCCCTCGTACGAGTTCTGCTGCACCATGATAAACTTGTTCCTTTTGCCACTGCAGTGGCTGAATTAGACTTGAAGGATACACAGTAAGAGTTATATTAAATGTTGACTATGTATTGTTTGATTTGGACCTTAGTTTGTCAATTGTTTTTATAACTTAGTTCTTTTATATTGACCAGCTTTGCTGTATCATAGTCTAAAAAGAACTGCTTAGTATATAATAAAGGCAGTCCTTTAAATTAGCAAACAGTATCCACCAACAGTAAAATTAACAATTAATGACAGATTTTCTTTTTACTTGGTGTCAAAATTTCCTGTTACTAGTCTTTGCTTCTTGTTTATAATGATTCACAAGTTACAAAGAAAATACCAAGTCAGAAGGTCCTTTTTTCTTGTCCATATTGTATCACCCTTATGTGCACAGGTGAGACATTATTTAAAAAATTGGGTGGCTTCCTGTTCCTATAATAGTCTTACGCTGTCATTTTATACACTCACACACATACACCCCACATTTGTAGTTATAAATATGGTTTGTTTGGTTTTTAACATATTTTCAGTAAGTAGTTTTTATAAGTTTGAAAATCTGAATGGCAGCAAGCTTTTCAGTGGATGGTAAAAATCACTAAAATTGCATATATGACCAAGTCACATATCTCATATTGATCTCATACTGATATTGATCTCATACTCACATATCTCATACTGATTTGACAACCTCTGTTTACTATACTTGTTTTCACCTTATTTTTACTTGTATTTCAGAGATGCAAACACAATTTTTAGAGGAAATTCCTTGGCTACCCGATGTCTGGATGAGATGATGAAAATAGTGGGAGGGCACTACCTGAAAGTAACATTAAAACCTATTCTGGATGAGGTATGGCATGAATACATGTACTCCGATAATAATAGTTTGTGAGGACTTACATAGCATCTCTTTCATTTAGTGATCATATCCATTCATATATTATTGAAAGAATAAGACTGAACACTTTAGAAATAAAATTAATTATTTACTCTTTCATCGATGGATATTTACTTAAAGGACACGTTGTGGTAGAACCTACATAATTATTATTGGATTTCTGTTTTAGCTAGAGTTTCAAATATAAGAGAATTTTTTAATACAGTTCTTTGCGAACCTCCCTTTTCTACTTGCATACACTTGAATAGTGAGTATTTTTAGTTCCATACAACTGACTAGATTTGATAATTTGATAATGATAAGGTTTTAGTTGTGATAGATTTTTACAGATCTGGTTTTAGAAATTAAAAACCTCTCTGTTGTAATATGCATAGAATTTTGAGGTGCATTTGTCAATAACTGGCGTGCTTTCATTTTGCACAGCAGCAGTGTCAAGACTTTGTTTAGAAACATTTCATGCAATGAAGAGTTGCTGTGTCTGATTGTCAGTACTTGGAATTATTCTCATTATGTGCGTCTCTAATAAGTAAATACACTTGCAATAGCTGTCTTTCCAGATCTGCCTGTTTATATTATCTCTGGATGGAGGTTTTAAACTTTGTTACAGTTTTAATTTTTATAATTAATTTGTGTTATCAGAAAAATAATGTTTTTATTTTGCCAAATATTTTTAAAAGGGCATTAAATGAAAAATTCATCTGTTTTTCAGATATGTGAATCCTCAAAATCCTGTGAAATTGATCCTATTAAATTGAAAGAGGGAGATAATGTAGAAAATAATAAGGTATGTCCTTGTTATCTTTGTAACTGCATTAAAATTGGTCTTAAAACTCTACCTGTCTCCCACTTATGTTGTAGTAATGCTATGTGGAGAGAAGCAGTGTTTTTCATTCTTTACATAGTGGCCATACCATTAGCAGCATTACCTGCATCTAGCTTTTATAATGTTGAAATCTCCTTGCCGGCTTTCACTTTATTTTTGTTCTTGATCATCTTTTTGGCTCTAGTAACAATAGTGGAGTAAGGCTTTATATCTAGTTGCAGCCCCATTCTGGTCAGCCCTTTAGATTCAAACCGGTCAGGCTAAGTAGCACAGTGACTTGGTCAACCAGTACTTAAAGTTGCCTCTGGGAAAAGACAGTTGTGTTTGTCACAAGTTTTCATTTCAGTAGATAACAGTGCCACAATGTCTATGTGCCTGCTTATCTGAGTTATTGTCCTAATTTACATTGGGATTTTTTACTCTCTTTTGCTTCTTGTGCACTTTATTTCCTACTTCACCTCTTATATTTGCTATTCTAAATCTAATATATTAAATGAGGTCAAGGTGTAAAGTGTCCCTTAGCTGAGTGAATTTAGAGAAGGGAAGCAGAACTTTACAAAGTAGATATTGAATGCCTAATAGAGCTCATTTCCGTTGCTTTTCAGGCTATTCAGGATGTATAAAAGTCAAAATCTTAATGTTTACCTTTTTAAATCCTGCAGGAAAATCTGCGCTACTATGTAGACAAATTATTCAATACAATTGTAAAATCAAGTATGAGCTGTCCCACTGTTATGTGTGATGTCTTTTATTCTCTGAGACAAATGGCTATTCAAAGATTTCCTAGTAAGTGCCTTATATTACTAAAACATGCCATTTCTTTTTCAATATTTGATTTTTTTGTAGATTTACTGTGTATTTGGTTTATGTGAAAAGTTTATGGCTTACAGGTATAGTCTTATTTAGTTTCTCAAAATAGTTGCTGCTTTTTAATGAAACATCTGATTTAATTTTCTTACAATCTCAAAACATTTCATTTTATTTTAATATAATGACAGCTTTACACAAAGTGAATTAAGTCACCATTATTTTTCAAAAAGGCAAAATTTAGAACTATAACATTATATAAACAAACATTTATACCAGGTGCTTAAGAGATTATTAAATAAAATAAACAGAAACAACTCTGTTATTTGTACCACCTCCCTTTTCTACTTGCATATTCAAATAGTGAGAATTTTTAGTTCCATACAACTGACTAGATTTGATAATTTGATAATGATAAGGTTTTAGTTGTGATAGATTTTTACAGATCTGGTTTTAGAAATTAAAAACCTGTCTGTTGTAATATGCATAGAATTTTGAGGTGCATTTGTCAATAACTGGCGTGCTTTCATTTTGCACAGCAGCAGTGTCAAGGCTTTGTTTAGAAACATTTCATGCAATTAAGAGTTGCTGTGTCTGATTGTCAGTACTTGGAATTATTCTCATTATGTGCACCTCTAATTAAAGTAAATACACTTGCTATAGCCGTCTTTCCAGATCTACCTGTAATAAGAGGAAGGGGGAGGAGATAAGGCAGCTACTTATCAGTCTTACCCAGCTATGTAAGACCTTGAGTTTATTTCTATAATATCTGAAGAGATTTTGCTATTTTATCATGTTCTTTTAAATGTGTGTATGTGCACACATATGTGTGCAGTTCTGACCATCCACTAAATGTACCCATTGTTAACCTGAGTTGTTCAACCAGAATGTAGATTAATTCAGACCTAGATGTCTTTGCTAATTATAGTAAAGACATAAACAGTTAATTTCAAATAAGTATATTAAATGTAGTCTTTGCAACAAAAATAAGGGAAGCAGAGACATTAACATATGGAAAGACATATACTGACTGAAATTACACTTTAGTGAGTTAGATCATAGCAACCACATCGAATGCTTAATGACTGAACAAACTCATGCTAGCCTGCATTATCTACTTCTCTCATCTATACAATACCACATGAGGCACATCCTGCTACCCTTAGGCAGATAAAGAAACAGGTTTAGAAAAGTTTAACTAGCTTGCACAAGATCCATGACGTGGCCAGTGCGCAAGCAGGGTCTCAACCTGGATCTGGCCCAGTCTACTTTTACCCAGTGATCTTGGCCTTACGTATGCTTAATCTATTTAATTCTCATTTATGTAAATAACCTAAAACACATTTTATGATTTTTTTATAAATGCTAAAGTATCTCCTTGACTGAGTTTCTGTTGGCTTAAACATTAATGTGTCTACATATCCCTAATAGACTACAGTAGTGAGTTTTGTTGTCATAAAATATTTTTATAATGTTTGTTCCCATCACTCTGGGAAGAAGATGGCTTGGGAAGAGGGGAGGTAATGAGTGGGAAGCAAGTATTACTAAAGAACTACAAATTAAATAACTTGTCAGTGACTAGCGGTTGAGTGACTTATAAGAGTTAAAACTCATACCAAATCTTGACATTCATGCCCTCACCACCTGCTTCTCTACCATCTGATTGGTGGGTTAAGCGTTGATTACAGTCTGAAAGGAAAACTGTAGGTTAATGATTGAAACCATAAGTGGTCTCCAATTCATTTGAATTTTAAAAAATATTTTATTTATTTATTTATTTATTTTTAGAGAGGGAAGGGAGGGAGAAAGAGACAGAGTCAATGTGCGGCTGCTGGGGGTCATGGCCTGCAACCCAGGCATGTACCCTGACTGGGAATCGAACCTGCGACACTGGTTCACAGCCCATACTCAATCCACTGAGCTATGCCAGCCAGGGTTTCATCTGAATTTTTATATGGAATACGGATAGCTTTTGAAAAGTAAAGGTTTCAGCCTAGATGTTTTTATTGCATAGTGTGTGCTGTTGTCAAGATTTTGGGGGGAAAATTAAGATAATTTCCTAAAATTGAAAACAATCTCTTATCCAAGTGTTAAAAGATTCGTTACCACTAGGTAGTGCTAGACACTACTTCTATTTTTGTTGTTATAATTTCTGGAGTCTCCTTGCAGACTGAGGAAAGAAAGACAGGAAAGTATTTTTCCAGATTAAAATGTTTCTGAAAACCTAGCAGCTTTGCCTTTCATTTTTTAATTAGTTTTTTCAAATTTTTTTTAGTCATAGAATGTTTTCCTTTAATTTAGTCGTAATCATCACTATCATTTCCATCAACTCAGTCCTTACTAGACAACTTTTATTGATCTCCTCTTCAGTTCACATGTTTTTTTCAGTACTTTTTACTTTGTCATCTTTGTTTTTTAATTCAGCGTGTTTGTGCATGACATTTCACCATTTTTTTTCTGCAGATGACCCTCATGTTCAGTATTCTGCGGTGAGCAGCTTTGTATTCCTTCGTTTCTTTGCTGTAGCCGTAGTATCACCTCATACTTTTCATTTGCGACCTCATCATCCAGTAAGTGTTGTTTTTCTCAAAGCTTTACTCCATTTTTATTTATTTTTAATAAAATAGAAAAAAGGTAAAAGAAGCCAGTTTTACTTGGCTATGTTTCCTTATACTTAAATTCACTGAGTGTTTTTCTTGGCCATTTCAGTCTTTTAGAGAAGGCTAAAAAATTTATTTTTTGTTGTTGCTGTTAAAAGAGATTACACAGAGTGCTAAAATATTAGTAATTGTTGAAGCTTGGTGATGGGTACAAAGAGGATTTATTTTATTTACCATATGCTATTATGTATGTTTGTAAATCTCCATAATACAAGGGTTTTTAAAAATTATTTATAGGTTTAGTTTAACTTTGAAGATATTTTTAAATTTTACAGAAATTTGAAGAGGCTTGTTTCTGCAGATGTAGAAACTTTAATGAAACATAATTCGTTTGCTGTCTCCATATTTTTGCTTTTTGTTCACCTGAGATGATACTGTAACTATATGAAATTTAAAACTTTTTTAAAGCATCTAACCTTTTTGTTGTGAAGTCCTATTTAATTAAACAGGAGTATGCACCACATAGATTTACATTTCTTAACACTTCAAAACTCCTTGTTTTTCCTATTTATGTTTCCTTCTCATACAGTGTATTTCTGCTGATTCTTTAAACTTTTATATCCCAAATAGTTTATGATCTTATCTAATTGCTTTCATTGCTAATTTATATAACAAATAATAGTAGTCAAGATTTATTTAGTGCTTGCTTTGTGCTAGGCTTTGTTCTAAGCACATTATCTTTAACTTAGCCTTCCCAGTAACCCTATGAGTAAATTTTATTATCATCCCCATTTGCAGATAAGAAAATGACAATTGAATAACTTCTCCAAGATCAAACAACTAATAAATTATTATTTGCTCTCACTCAGTTTGAACTAAATTAAAACAGAATTCTAATTCAGTCTTCCCAGTCTGTAAGCTTACCCCTTGTAGGCAGTCAGATGTTGGAGCATCTGTAATGTATCAAACACTGTGCTCAGCACTGTGGAGGCAATGATGAGAAAGACCTCCCTGTCCTTAGGAAACTCACTGACTAATACAGTGTATAGAGGACCTATGGGTTTTGCAGTTAAACTGGGCTCTGAAGGCCACTCCTTCTCTTGACATTGGCAACTCATTTAACTTTGAGAACTGAATGGGACCATGCTGCTGCAACAGCAACTTACCCTTTGTTGCCAGAGGACAAATGGTCTGTAAGTAGGTGCAGCCGAGAGTGGGCCAGTGTCCTTTTATTAGCATACTGTTCTTTCTGTGATTGTGAAGCTGCACTGAACTTGGGACAAGCAAAAGCTCAGTAGCAGCGTTCTGGACAGAAATAGAACTTCTATCTCTGAGCTTGTGGCCCTGCCTGTATTCAGATTTGGATTTGTGTATTACTGTAATAGATTTTTCAATAAAGTCATTTTTAAGAATTTTTCATTCTGGACTTCCGGCCAAGATGGAGGCATAGGTAGACACACTGTGCCTCCTCGCACAACCAAAAGAAGGACAACAATAATTTAAAAACAAAAAACAACCAGAACTGACAGAAAATCGAACTGTATGGAAGTCCAACAACCAAGGATTTAAAGAAGAAACATTCTTCCATACCAGTAAGAGGGGCAGAGTTGGGCAGCTTGTGGCAAAGCAGTGGCTGGTGGACTAGGGTGCACAAGGCGGTGGCTGGCGAACCTAGCGACGTGGTGAATTGTGGAATGGGGTGCAGTGTGCAGGTTGCAGCTGGCCAGCAAGGCAGAGGCTGGTGGACCAGGAGGTCCCACATTCGCATGCAGATAAACCAGGAGAAATTGGGGAGCAGGGCGGACCGCACAACCCACGGTCCCAGTGTAAGGAAGTACAGCTTCAAACCACTGATTGAAAACACCTGTGGGGGTTGAGGCATCAGCAGGAGAAACTCCCAGCCTCACAGGAGAGTTCATTGGAGAGACCCACAGGGTCCTAGAACATACACAAACCCACCCACCCAGATATCAGCACCAGAAGGGACCAATTTGCTTGTGGGAAGCAGGGGAAGTGACTAAAATCTGTCAGAGAGTGGAGCAAGCGCCATTGTTCCCTCTCAGACCCCTTCCCCACGTACAGCGTCACAGCCCAGCAATGTGGGTTGCCCCGCCCTAGTAAATACCTAAGGCTCCAACCCTTACTACGTAACAGATGTGTCAATACAAAAAAAAAGGCCCAAACAAAAGAACAGATCAAAGCTCCAGAAATAATACAACTAAGTGATGAGGAGATCGCCAACCTATCAGATGCACAGTTCAAAACACTGGTGATCAGGATGCTCACAGAATTGGTTGAATTGGGTCGCAAATTAGATGAAAAACTGAAGGCTACAATAAGTGAAATAAATGAAAATGTACAGGGAATCCATAGTTATGGGAAGGAAACTGGGACTCACATCAACAGTTCGGACCAGAAGGAAGAAAGAAACATACAATCAGAAAAGAATGAAGAAACAAGAATTCAAAAAAAAATGAGAGGCTTAGGAACTTCCAGGACATCTTTAAATGTTCCAACATCCGAATTATAGGGGTACCAGAAGGAAAAGAGGAAGAGCAACAAGTGGAAAACTTATTTGAACAAATAATGAAAGAGAACTTCCCCAATCTGGCAAAGGAAATAGACTTCCAGGAAGTCCAGGAAGCTCAAAGAATCCCAAAAAAGTTGGAGCCAAGGAGGAACACACCAAGGCACATCATAATTACATTAGCCAAGATTAAAGATAAGGAGAGAATCCTGCAAGCGGCAAGAGAAAAGGAGACAATTGTCTACAAAGGAGTTCCAATCAGACTGTCAGCTGATTTCTCAGAAGAGTCCTTACAGTCAAGAAGGAGCTGGAAAGAAGTATTCCAAGTCATGAAAGGCAAGGACCTACATCCAAGATTACTCTATCCAGCAAAGCTTTCATTTAGAGTGGAAGGGTAGATAAAGTGCTTCCCAGATAAGGTAAAGTTAAAGGAATTCATCATCACCAAGCCCTTATTATATGAAATGTTAAAAGAATTTATCTAAGAAAAAGAAGATTAAAAATATGTACAGTAAAATGACAGCAAACTCATAATTATTAACAACCATACCTAAAACAAAAACAAAAATAAACTAAGCAAACAACTAGAACAGGAACAGAACCACAGAAATGTTGATCACATGGAGGGTTATCAACAGGGGAGTTGGAGGGGGAGAGAAGAGGAAAGGGTACAGAGAATAAGTAGCATAGATGGTAGGTAGAAAATAGACAGGGGGAGGATAAGAATAGTATGGGAAATGTAGAAGCCAAAGAACTTACATGTATGACCTATGGACATGAACTAAAGTGAGGGAATGTATATGGGAGGGGGTGTGCAGGGTGGAGGGGAATGAAGGGGGAAAATGGGACAACTGTAATAGCATAATCAATAAAATGTATTTTTAAAAAACTTTTCATTCTAATTGGGGAAATGAGGAAAATACATAAAATATGTAATCTAAAACTACATATATAAATCTAAAAGTAGCACCTGATTTGTACCAAGTGTAGAAGTATAGACAATTCATACTATCCAAATTGAGAGCAAATGATGACCCCAGGAACCTTGGGGTGATGACATTGTCAAGACCAATACTAAAATTTACAGAATGGTTGGGGAGGAAAGCCAATTAAAGTTTATTGGATTTTACATTTAGCAGTTCTTTGCATTTTGAGAAGTCAGTTTTAGAGTAAAAGAAAATAAGAAAATCAGATTGCAGAAGATTATAGAATAAATAGGTGACTGTAGTTTTACCTAGGAAATATATCAAAAGGAGCTTGCCCTGCTACTAGAAAACATGGGCAAACTCAGGCATGTCCGCATGAATGAATAATTTTTTAAAAGCACTAATTTTAAAACATAGGTTATGCTAACATTGACACAATAGGCCACTCTTGCCAGAAAGTTCATGTTAGGAATAAAAAAAGATTGAGCCATCCTTCTCACCTTATCTCCCATGCCTTGTAATGTTCAGCCATGGTATACTTCTCTAACCCTTCCATCTGTGTTAGGTGCCTATCTCTCTCTCTCTCTCTCTTTTTTTTTTTTTTAATTTTTAAAATCCTGCCCTGGCTGGCGTAGCTCAGTGGATTGAGCGCGGGCTGGGAACCAAAGTGTCCCAGGTTCGATTCCCAGCCAGGGTGCATCCCTGGGTTGCAGGCCATAACCCCCAGCAACCGCACATTGATGTTTCTCTCTCTCTCTCTCTCTCTCTCTCTCTCTCTCTCTCTCTCTCTCTCTCTCTCTCTCTCTCTCTCTCTCTCCCTCCCTTCCCTCTCTAAAAATAAATAAATAAAATCCTAAAAAAAAATCTTTAAAAAAAAATCCTAACCCGAGGATATGTTTTTATTGATTTTAGAAAGAGAGAAGAGTGGAGCATGGCGGGCAGACAGGGATAGAGAGAAACAGAGAAACATCAGTGTTGAGAGAGAAACATTGATTGGTTGCCTCTTATATGTGCCCTGAATGGGTATCAAACCTGCAACCTAGGTGTGTTACCTGACTGGGAATCAAAACTTTTGGTGTATGGGATGATGCTCCAACCAACTGAGCCGCTGGGCCAGGGCAGGTACCTCTCGTATAGTAGTACCCTGTGGCTCTCTCTGTCATGACATTTCTCATACTGTTTTATAATCATTTGTTTATAGCCTCTGCCTGTAGACTATTAGTATTGTAAGAGCAAGGGCTAGATCTTTTTCAAGTTTCTATAACCCAAGTACATAGCACAGTTTCTAGGATAACTAGGTTCTCAGTAAAGTTTGGAAGCGAAAGATGGTAGAAAGAGCCCATCAAATGATGAGTCTTTTCCAAATGGGAAAACCTGCATATAGTTTAAATAGAGAAGAAGAGACCAAAAGAAGGAATAATTTAAAAGAGAAGGGGGCTTACTAATATCAGACCAATATCCTAAGGGAGTTAGTAAGTATGTCTTTAAAAGAAAAAGTCATGGGGTAAATCTTGGGAAAAAGAATAATTCCTCCTTTGAAAAATATGGTAGACTATATGAACTTGTTTTTTGTACATCAGGAATAGTCAAATAATGGTAAATTCATATGGTTCAACCTAATATAAAGAATAAAGGGTAAGATATGTTGTTTTGAGGTGAGAGAACCAATATTTTTGTTGACTTTAATAAATATTATATAGCATCTACTATATGCCAGACTATGTACTGGGTGCCAGATGTTAAGGTACTGGTTATCTATGAAAAATTATGTCAAGTGGTAGCAGGGAAAAAGATTAGAATAACTTATTTGTTCACCAGGTGTCAACAGCAGCTCAGTGAGATGATTGTCAAATAGCAGCAAGGGCCACATTGCTGTAAACAAACTTCTGATGTGTAGAAACTATATAAATATACTTTGTTCTCTTTCCCTGGTTCAGGAAAATTATGACCTAAAACACTGATTTTAAAACCAAATCTGAACAAGGAAGTCTTGGTGAAATTCAGTTTATTAGCACATTGTTAACTATTGTATATTCTTCCATGGCAGAGAATTATAGGGACCTTTTATACATATAATGGAATACTGAATGTTTAGCTAAATATTTTTGAATAACACAGTGTATAACTGTTTCATAGGTATATAATGCTAATCATATCCCAAGTGGCCCTTCTTTTCCAGATTGCCTTACTTCCTGGTCATCTCTTCACATTTACTGCCTGTTTTCTATGTTGGGATCCTACAATATTAAGGAATGTAGACCAAAAACTAAACTAAAGCATTTCTGTATCTAAATTTTCTTGAGTATGTCTTTTGATGGATGATAATGTTTTATTTGAATTCCCAAACCAAAGATGGTTCTATATAGTGATAGGGGAATTGTTTATACAAATGTGTGATTGATGAAAACTCATCAACCTATATATATTTAAATCTGTTTATTTCACTGTATGTAAATTACACCTCAATTTTTTTTAAAGGGAAGGAGCAAGGACTCATTAAGGAACACCATTTAGTCAATTTTATTTGTATTTACTTCTTTCTGGTAGACAGGCCTGAAAAACACCTTAATAGACCAACATACTTAACCCTCTGCTAAGATTCTACATGAACTGGGTGACTTCTCATTTCCTAAGTTGAATTTTAGGTATTTGCTTCCATGGTGGAAAGACTTGATTGCAGAAGCTGTGTAAATTATTGAATATGCTTTGAGGTAGGTTGAGTACAGAAAATTTGGAAACTACCATTTTGGGTTAAAGGATAGAAAAAATTAGATGCCATTGACACTTCAAAAGTGGGTAAAATTTGTTAGGTAATTCAAGCTGCCATACTGTACAAAACAAAACAAATAATGCTCATTAAATTATGGCTTTCAGAAGTAACACATCATAAATATAATTACTTTGGGAGGAATTGTCAGTTACATGTGGCTTCTTAATCTCTTTATTTCTTAGTCCAATGAGCTGTGCCTATCTTAGCTAGATTTTTTTAAATTATATTTTATTGATTATGCTATTACAGTTGTCCCCATTTTTCCTCCTTTGCCCGCCCTCCACTAGCACCCCACACTCCCTCAAGCAGTCCTCACACCATTGTTCATGTCCATGGGTCATGTGGATATGTTCTTTGCCTGCTCTATTTCCCATAATGTATTTTAGAGTCTCATGGCTATTCTGTAACTACCAATTTGTAGTTTTTAATCCCCTCACCTCTTCACCCATTTCCCCACAGCTTTCTCCCATATGGCAACCATCAAAACACTCTCCATATCTTTGATTCTGTCTGTTTTTCTTGTTTGCTTAGTTTGTTTTTTAGATTCAATTGTCGATATGTATTTATTGCTATTTTGTTATTTTAGTTTTGATCTTCTTTTTCTTAAATAAGTCCCTTTAACATTTCATATAATAATGGTTTGGTGATGATGAACTCCTTTAATTTGTCCTTGTCTGGGAAGCTCTTTGTCTGCCCTTCAGTTATAAATGATATCTTTGCTGGGTAGAGCAGCCTTGACTATAGGTCCCTGCTTTTCATGACTTTGAATACTTATTGCCAGTCCCGTCTAGGCTGCAAAGTTTCTCTTGCGAAATCATCTGACAGTCTTATCGGAACTCCCTTGTGGGTAACTAACTGCTTTTCTCTTGCTGCTTTTAAGATTCTCTCTTTATCTTTAACCTTTGGCATTTTAATTATGATGTGTCTTAGAGCGAGCCACTTTGCATCCACCTTGTTTGAGACTGTCTGTGCTTCCTAGACTTTGCATGTCTGTTTCCTTCACCAAATTAGGGCACTTTTGTTCCTTATTTTTTCAGTTAGATTTCTGATTTCTTACTCTTTCTCTTCTCCTTCTGGCATACCTGTGATACAAATGTTGGAACACTTGAAATTGCCCCCAAAGCTGCTTACACTATCCTTGTTTTGGGGGATTCTTTTTTCTTGTTATTCTGATTGTGTGTTTTTTTTTTTTTGCTTCCTTATATTCCACGTCATTGATTTGATTCTCAGCTTCATCCACTCAAATGTTGTTTCCTTATAAATTGTTCTTTATTTCAATTAGTGTATTCTTCATTTCTGACTGGTTCTTTTTTTACGCTGCTGAGGTCCTCACTGAGTTCCTTGAGCATCCTTATGACCATTGTTTTAAACTCTATATCTGATAGATTGCTCATCTCCATTTTGTTTAGTTCATTTTCTGGAGTTTTGATCTGTTCTTTCATTTGGGCTGTATTTCTTTGTCTCCTCATTTTGGTAGCATTCCTGTGCTAGTTTCCATGTATTAAGTAGAACTGCTTTGACTACCTGTCTTGGTAGTGTGGCCTAATAAAGTAGGTGTCCTGTGGGGTCCAGTGGCATAGCCTCCCTTATCACCCAGGCTGGGTATTTGAGGTGTGCCCTTTGTGTAGGCTGAGTACACCCTCCTCTTCTGGTTGAGGCTTTATTGCTGTTGACAGGCCAATGGGAGGGATTCACCCAGGCCAGTCAGCTGTAAAGATTGGCCGTGACCACTACCAGCACCCACCATCCATGGAGGATCAGCTGTGCAGGAGCAGGGTGGTGGTGCTCTGGTGTGGTCTGTAGTTGTCCATTGGGTGTACAGGCACTGGGTTTTCTCAGGTGATGCAGGTCAAGATCAGCCTCTTCCTATGTTTGTCCACGGCCACCCTGCCTGAGCTATAAAGCAATCTGAGAGGGCTGCCACTTGTGCTTGGCTTGGAGATCCCCAGGTGAAGCCAAGCTGTGAATCTAGGCTGGCTGCTACTAGTGCTGGGCCTAAGGCCACTCTGCAAGAGTTACAGGGGCTGGGGGGCTCAGTGAGGCCGGTTGGTGCTTATTTGAGAGGATGTAGGAAGTTGTGAGGCATGAGCCCAGACCAGCCATTCATAAGGAAAAGTCACTGTTAATTGCTGTAAGTTGAGTGAGACAGGTCCTCAGGGGATCCTCAGGACAAGGCCAACAGTGTTAGCCAGGTTGATGGAATCTCAGATATGGTACTCGCCTACTGGCTCTGTGGCTGTTTGGGGGGACAGTTCAAAAAAAGGGACAATGGCCTCTGCCCTCCTTTCTGTCTGGGAGAAAGCTGTCCCCCAACTCTTAATGCCAGACACTTCAGTTTCTCCCTGTATACCAATTAGTGCCTTTCAAGGGGCTACCCCAGTGTTGGAGCTCAGAGGGAGTGAGCCTGAGCAAGTCCATGTGTGAGTTCTTTAACAGGAACTCCCTGAGACTCCAGAAGTTTCTTCCAGTGACTCATTCCCTGCTGGTTTTTGCATCCGGAAGTTATGGGGATTTATCTTCCTGGCACTGGAATCTTGCACCGGAGGGCCTGGGGAGGGTCTGGGACTCCTCACACCTAAAATATCCATCCTGAATTTTTATTTACCATACATGGGTATGGAACCAGCCCATTCCACATCTTCCAGTCTGGATAGATGTGGCTTCTTTAATTCCATAGTTGTCAAGCTTCCATTCAACTTGATTTCTGATGGTTTTAAGTGATGCTTGTTTTATAATTTAGTTGTAATTTTGATGTGATTGTGCAAGGATGTGAGCTGTATTTACCTGTGCCACCATCTTGACCGGGAGTCTCTCTTTGCTAGATTTTAACTATGTTGCCTTGAATGAACATTTTGAGAATTGTTTTAAGAGCAATATAGTCCATTCACTCTCTTCTGCTTTTTATACAAATTCTATTTTTTTGAAAACTTAACAGGGGTTTTGTGTCCTTTTTTATATTCCTCAGGACCCACAGACAATTAGAACATTAACTCTCATCTCAAAAACCATTCAGACTTTGGGAAGCTGTGGTAGTTTGTCCAAAAGCAAGGTAAGTCTTTACATCTCTTGCTTTGTAGTCACACTTCTAAATATTGTTTTATTCTGTGATCCCTTCTCCCTTACTCCTTTCCAAATCAAAAACAAAGGTAAATCAAAAATACATAGTACATACAGATGCAATAGCTATCTTTTAGGTAGATGTTGTGTCTTTGTCACCTATTAAAGAGGACAGATTGGTTTAAACTAACATACCTATGAGGGGGTGAGAGTCTGGTAAACTGATGCCAGCGCGTCCTGTTTGTCTGTCTGCACCATAATCACCTACGAGCTACTGAGGAAATCCAGCTCCAAACCCTATACCTTTCTTAAAATGTATGATTAAAACTGTTTAGGTCTTAATGCTAAGATTTATTAAAAATATAGTCCACTGGTATTCTAAGTTCTCTACTCAATATATATAAATCCTCTGTGTTTTTTTCCTTAGTCAAGTTTCAAGGAGACATTCATGTGTGAATTTTTCAAAATGTTTCAAGAAGAAGGATATATTATAGCAGTTAAAAAGGTATGCTTGTTTTGCTCTATAAATATTAACATTTCTTTTCCTATAGTACTGAGGAAATAATATTTCATAATATTCTTAGAAGTTAATCCCCAATTTAAATAAATAATGTAAAATTATCCATCAACTATAACAAAGCTATCTTTTTCCCTCTTTCTCCTCCCATTCAAAACTGGGATTTTTAGCTGTGAAAACACCTAAATGAGCTTTAGCAATGGCTGCTATTGCCAGTGTCCTAATAACATAAGTTACAAGTATCTAGAATTAGTGTTTCTCAACAGTGGCATTACTGGCAATTTAGTTGAGTAATTCTAGATTGTGAGGGGCTGTCTTGTACATTGTAGGATATTTAGCCTCATCTCTGACCTCCGCCAACTAGACCAGTAGCATGTCCCTAGTTTGAAAACCAAAAATGTCTCTAAACAGCCAAATGACCCCTGAAGGACAAAAATTGCCCCTGATCGAGAACCTTTAGTCTAGAGGTAAAGGCTTTTCTGTGTGCCTGATGTATAGTAAGCACTTAATTGCATAGTAGAAAATATACGAATTGCTGAACATTTTATAAACAGTATAGACTTATGGTAGTCACTCAAGAAAAGTTCCTAAAATTAAAATGTACAAAGGCCTACAGTATATAATATCCTAATTGCAAGGCTTACAATATACAAAAATTGCTATACTTAGAAATTGAAATTGTTTCAAAAGGATCTATAATTTCTTGAGTTTTTAGTTCTGAATCATTTTAAACAAAATGTAGCATTATTGTCATAGCCTAAAAATTTGTTGAGAAAAGTTTTTTTATTTTTTTAATTTTATTTTAATTGTTGTTCAAGTACAGTTTTCTGTCTTTTACTCCCATCCCAGCCTACCCCGCCCAACCCTCCCCACCTCCTTCCCATTTCCACTCCCCCTTAGTTTTTGTCCATGTGTCTTTTATACTTGTTCCTGTAAACCCTTTCCCTTTTCCCCTGAAATTCCCTCCTCTGTCTCACTCTGGTCACTGTCATCCTGTAAAAGAAAAGTTGTTTTAAAGTATATCTAATCTTGGCTTGAAGAAAATACTATATCTTATTTATCACTGTTCTAACTTAATGAATTCAAATTAGCAAAGCCAAGTTTTAAAGATTTCATTCATTGTCTACAACTTGATTCACAGTTGATTGCCAAGAGTATATTTTGTGGAAGTATGTTTGTACTTTTTTTGTACTTTTAAAGTTCTTACAGGGACTCAGTAAATGAAAATGATGATTTAAAAAATTAAAGCCCATTGGAATCTTTTCATCTAGTATAATGCAAGTTCAACCAAAATTTTTTTAAGCAACCATTGAAGGCTTTTGATGAGAAACTCTTTCCAAAGAATAAGGAAAGAGAAAGCTGTCCTTTTATTTATGGACATTGTTGAAGCATTTGTGGGACAGTGTAGGCAGACTTTTTTTGGCAATAGTATGATGTACTATCTTTTGTTTTAAGGTTGTTTTCCATTTTTTATGACCTAGGCCATAGTAGCATCTGATTTTTTTCCCTGACATAATCAGAATGTGCAGAGTTGATAAGGTCAGTGGAGAAAGTATGTAAGGGGCGCCAGGAGATTAGTCTGTTCCTGAACCGCTCGGTGTCACCCACTCACATTCTCATGGGCTGTTACCATGGTATGTCTCTGTCTCAAGTTTGGTTCTAGATTCCTGAACTAGCATAGGATATTTTGCCCTAATATAAGGGTTTTCTTTGTCATTCACTAGCTAAGTCTGGATATGTGCGGTACCATAAAGTGCAAAAGCTTACAAAGCCCAACTTCTCATTCCGTATTGTTCTCACTAGTGACATTGACCACTGCTCCAGAAGAAGATAGGTTGTAACTCTGAATCCTGTACTGTTCCCACAGCAGATAGAGAGGGTAGCCCTGACAGGAATATACACAGAATGATTATATTATTTAGTGTCCAAACCTGGATACTTTTAAGAATTAAAAGGAGTACTGTTGATTATGTTGGGACCACAGCTGTAGACAGGGACAGCCCTGAGCACACTGGGACCTATATTCACCCTGCCTATAGTCCATCTTAATTATTGTGTTTTCTTTCATTTTGTCTAACTGTATTTACCCTCTAGTTGCTTATAAATACAGCAGATAAATGGTAAATGTAAAAATTATCATAAATAATATTTGTCAAATAAATCAGTGCCTTCAGGTAAAACTAAGAAATTAAACATTCAAATAAATCTGTTATACTCCATTAGCAGGTGGTCCCTAGTGAAAGTTACCAGTTGATAGGAAACTTCTTTATTCCCTTAGGTACTTGTTCTGTATCACCCACATACGTATAATGCAAAAGAAATTCTGCTCGTGTTCTTTCACTTGCCAAGATTTCCTTCCAGGAAACCAGAAGTAAACATTCCATTGGAAATCCCCCAAGTGTGGGCTCTGGTGGGTTATTCACAGCCAGTCTTAGGAGAAAATGGCTGTGCCCACAAATTCTGTTTACATCAGGCACTGGTGCCTCAATGTCATTCTTATTGGAATGTAATTTGTTTTTGTTTTTTAAGTCTGAAATGGGACAACATAGAAAAGTATAAATGAAAAAGCAAGGACTAAACATACACCAGTAGTTCATTTATTGTACAAAATGGAATTCCTCTCAAAGAACAAGAATTGTTCTAATTTCCCTTTCCCATGAAAGCCACCTGCCAGGAAGCTCTTGACAAGTCAAGGTAACATATTTGTGAACGCTCTTCACTAGAGCATTCACAAATACACTATACTAAAGATTCCCTTGCTAGAGATGGGTACTTTAAATTTTCTTGAGCCACCATATTCCTATGTTTGCCATAGGAAGTTTATAAATTGTATTTAGAATCCAGGTTAGTCCAGAGAACCCAGTTATACTTCAGTCATTCCTATGAAATACTGTCTCCCAGGGCTAAAGTCAATTTGTAGTAGAAGTCAGCAAACCCTTCTCTGTCAGGGGCTAGTGAGTAAATATTTCAGGCTTATCTGGTCACATAAGGGCTCTGCCACATACTCTTTTTTATATGTTAGTTTTTACAACCCTTTAAAAATGTAAAACAATTTCTTAACTCATGAGCCTTACAAAAACAGGCTGCAGGTTGAATCTGGCCTGCTGCACTATGGTTTGGTGATCCCTTACCTCTAATAGAAGTTTACAATCCTATACCTAAAATCATTGGGACCAGAAGTATTTCAGCATTCAGTTTTCAGAGTTCTGAAAAGTATATGTTATATGTTATATAATATCCCCAGTGAGGCCTGATTACCCCTAATCAAACACATTAATGTTTATGTGGCACAATTCACTCTCAGTAGTTAAGTAGCCTTACACCAGTTTGGGATAAGTTATACCCCCAAATGAGGTACTGTAAATCAGAAACAAGACAAAAAATCTCTTTGTTTTCAGAACTTTAGAGATTTCAGAACTACAGTTAAGAGATTACAGATTGAATTCTTTCTATAAGGAACTATATTCTGGGCTTTAAGTAATTTAAGAATAAACTTTTTAGAATACTTGTCATTTGTAAATTACAGACTTCCTCTACAATTAAATATGTGTTTTGCTTTATATATTACAATTATGTGTATTCCTTAATAATAAAGGCCTTCACAGTGTTCTCATAGGCATTTAAAATAAGCTGAATTTATTATGTATCTTACCACAAAGTATAATGTTTGCCTATTTCCCCATTCAGTTCTTGGATGAAATTTCATCTACTGAAACTAAAGTGTCCAGTGGTACGAGTGAGCCTGTACACCTGAAAGAAGGGTAATTTAATGAAATTAGACGTTAAGGTCACGTTTTAGTATAGATGTTAAGTAAGTACAAAGAACATGGGTCTGGGAGTGGGGAAATCTGGGGTTTTGTTCTGTGCTAGAACTTCCTGCGTACCATCAATCAGGTAAGTCACTCTCACCATCCCGTAAACTTCACGTTGGGTGGGCATGACTCCTTGTCCATACAGTCCAGTAGTTGTTTGGCAAATATAATGGGATTGTGGGTATTAGACTAAGTAGAGTTACTGTTTTTGGAAAATAACAGTACTGTTCAGTCTGAAAGTAGTAGTAGTATCACTGGAAGTTAAGGGGGGAATCACTCATTTGGCCTTTTTAGTTCTGGGTGGCACAGTTATAAATTAAATTAATTAAAGGATTTATTCCCTTAACATGGCCAAAAAAAATGTAAAAGGTTTAGATGTCAAAAATACTTTTATATGCTTCATATAATCTTACCACTTTTTTACACCATTTAAGATGAAAACCATTTTTTGTTTTGGCTAACTACTTTAATATTTGTAACTAAATATTTACATCTGTTGTTTTGGCAGTGAGATGTATAAAAGAGCTCAGGGAAGAAATCGGATTGGAAAAAGGAACTTCAAGAAACGGTGGTTCTGCTTAACAAGCAGAGAGCTCACCTACCACAAACAGCGAGGTAGTTGCACGTATGCTTTATTGTGGGATCTTTTCCTGGTTCTCAGTGAAGATATCTTTTTGCTGCTTAATGTGACTGTAGTGAACCTTTTCACTGATATTACTGTAGTGTATAGTTTCTTACAGTGATACACACAGTAAGAATGCAGTAAATATTTGACAAGTGATACCATGTAAATTAAATTGTTCACACACATGTTCTTTTTTTCAAAAGTCCCTGCTGTTATAATCAATAACAACATTAAGACCTCGTGGAACTGCGAAGTTTCTTTAACTCTCAGAGTGAAATTGGTAGGCATCAATATCTAATAAATGAGAGTATTTTGTCATACCATAGATAGTGATTCCTGTAAAGTTATTAGGTTCATTCTAGACTGTTGGCCAAGCCAACACCAAGATGGAATTTTTAATTATTTGCCTTCTGAGAAAATACAAATAGGCTGTTTAGGTAAAAAGCCATCTTTTCACACTGTGATATGAGGGTTTCTGAGAGGCAGTTTGCCTTTCAGTGGACTTATACAATGCTTAAAATCGTCACCTTTTAAGGTTATTGCTTGGAGTAAAGTATTACCCACAGAAGGCCATGAGCTTCTTCTGATAGCAAAAACTTAGTATCTAGATCATAGATCACATGCAGTAGAATCCCTTTTATTCAAAGTGATCAGGATCTAAAGGTGTTCACTTAATCAAAAAAAATCAGTTAAAGCAAGAATCACTGGAAAACAAAAAGATGCATACATATTTTAAATATTTATATAATTGTTTACCAGTCTTTTGATAGCAAGCCAAGATCTTTTCTTTGAATATGGATCTATAGGTTGGATTTCCCCTTCTTCTTTCTTGTGCATATATACCACAAATGCATCAGTTTTCAGATTGATTTCTCCAAAGTGAAACCAGAACTTAAATACTTGAAAAGTAATCAAAGTACAGAATCCTTTTAGATTTTCAGGATAGTCGCTCTAATCTTTTACTGCCCTCTCACCCCCATATAAATCAACTTTATTTGTATAGATATAGGTCTCTTTTTTTTGAAGCTTTTCAAAGCACCTGCCTGATTTTCATATAAATAGTAAATCTCTTAGTAGAGGGCAGTTGTTACTTTATGTATATTTCAGTAGATTATAATTACAATGTGGAAAATAGCATAAATAAGTTTGGGTACAAACTCAGTGGACTTGGTAAGCAAAAAAAGAAAAAGCCTAACCAATGGAACAGAAGCTGAACAGATAGTAAGTAGCCTAGCAACCACAAGCATTCTGCATCCCATGAACATCATTCATTATGTTTTATGGAGGAAATGGGGAGTCTCAGTCAATCCATCAGATATGGTAGGCGAAGTAAGAGAGCTTCGCCTGTAAATTCTGAAATGATAAAACAAACACCAGACATAGGCTACTTTTAAGAGAATATAGGGTGCTAAGTAAGGTGCTTCTTGAAGAAACCATAAGAAAAATGTTTTGTTTTATAATTTCTTTGAATGGCCTAGCCAGGATAACTGTATATGTCCAAATATGTTAGTAAGACATAAGAAACCAAATGCATTTTTTATTTAGGGTCCAGATAATTTGTTATGGCATACAAACATTCAAATGACTAAAGATCAATAGGCTACGTACTTGCCCTTTCGGACACACTTTTTATGCTAAATATATTTTGAGAGGTTTAGAAGTTACAGCTTATGTTGAATACTGTATAAATGTCCTCACATATATAGCAGCATTTTAAAAATAGCTGTCATAATGTGCTGTGTTTAAATTATGTTTACATTAACAGCACATTGAAATAAAATTTAAGGTGTAGTCATTCTTCATGAATAAAAAAGCTATTTTTTCCCTTATTTAAAGTATTTTCTAATTTAAACAAATATTCTCAAGTCTTTTCTGGTTTTAGACTAAGAATCTGATGATAGCTTTGGACTCTTTCCTCCAGGAAAATGCACATACAAACTAGACACGAAATTTTGCATGTGATTTCAGGGAGTTCATAGACCCAAAGCCCATTCATAGTTCTCAGTAACTTCTGTTCCAGCCAGTGATCTTGTGGGGATAAAGTTTTGTGGAATGATTAGGCTGCTTTAGGTATAAAATAGATACATTAGAAATTAACATTGTTTTCAGGCCTTAAGAAATTTAACATGTTGGAATGACTTGAAGGAGTGAGCTCTGCTCTGTGAAGTTATGACATTGTTTACCAAAGCCTACAGTTTTAAGCATCCATGCCTGTTGCTTTAACTATTTTGATGGATTTTTCCAAAATGTATTACATGCTTCCCTGTCTTCTAAAAAAGAGTTCATTGAACGTAAGTTAACATTTTCTAGATGACTTGGATCTGTCATTGATAATAATTATTATATCGTGCTCTTATTTAGTGATGTTTTCAGGGCTGTTTATGGGTGTGTTTATGGGCTGTTTATGGCTGTTTCAGCAGCTGTTTACTCCCCAGCTAAATGCCTTGGACTGCTGTGCTTTTTGTGTTTCTGTGTTCGTTTTTCTCTATTCCCTTTATGTTTAGGCTGACATCTTAATTTCTTGTGCTGTCAGTGAACCATAATGTAATGTCTCACTTCCACCTCCATCACCCACCTCCATTTTTTACTGCTAATATACTAGGAGTGAGGATATAGGTTCTGTGTTTGTTAAAATTATGCCTAAGATTAAAAGTCTTAAGATTAAAGACTTAAGGAATTTCCTCTATGAATAAGGTACATGGGCTTTGGATTCTCTGGTTGTTAAGCAAATGTTTTATCTACTTCCTGTTTCCTTGCTGCTTTCTGGACAGCCAAGACTGCTAGTTAATTCTCTTGCTACACTTACTATGTAACTTTGGTGTCTGAAGGAGTACCTCCCAAGGTTTCTGTAACCTAGTTCTGAATCATTGAGTCTTTTGCTCCATCCTCTTACTGGACACTAGTAGGCTGAATTTTTCTACCACTTAGAATCAAACCATATGGTCTTTTTCCAAATTAGTGGAAAAGGAATTAATATAATTTTTTTTGATGTTAAGGGTTTTTTCAAATAAGTTGTTAAATTTTTGGTTCCTGCTTAAGTAATTACTTACAAGCAATAGTAAGCAACAAATCTTAAAGACAACTAAGTTAACATGTAGCAAATGACTATTACAGGGCACTCAGTCAATTATCAGTCATGATTACATTGACAGTTTTGTATGGACCTATGTGCTTGTGGTTATGGTTTTACTGCTACACTGCAACGTAGTCATCTTCTACAAGTAGAAGTTCTAGTTGTATGCTGGAACCAAATGCATTATTGATATTCCAGCCTCTTCCTGTCTCATGCAGCCTCATTTTTGCTTTCTCCATGTCACTTCACCAGACTACTCTTGCAATTTCTTTAACTTGTATTCTTTTATATTCATGCTTTTGCATATGCTTTACCTAGAAATATCTTTCTTTCCTTCTTCACCTTTAAGACATAAACCAAGTGTTAGTTCTTCACAGGAGTCATTTATAAGCCTCTAGCCACCTCAGTTGAGGTATGCCCTTACAATGTTTCCTTGTCACCTTAGTGATAACTTCTATCACAGTATATGGTCTTTAATTTTCTCTCTCTGTTTCCATGGTCTTCAAAATCCTCAATGGTAGGGACTGTGTTTTTACTACCTTCATTAAGGCATTACATTAAGTAAATGTTAATAAATGGTGTTCTTCAAAGAAGACTATATCTTCTAGATATGTTATCATCTAAATGATTTTAAGAACTACAGCTCTAGGCTTCTAACCTGTTCACCAAGTGTGCTAATAATAGATTGTTAACAAATTTACCTCTAAAATTCTGTCCCATGTTCTCCAGACTTGATTAGGTATTGGGTACTTTGGGAGACTTGACATACACAGATTTATACACACAGCCAACACAACTTCCATGTGATACCCAGTGTTCCAGCTCACATAGCTTGTGGACAATATGAAAGAACCTTCCATGATGTTTTAAACAGGAATTTTAATACATTTGGATTAATTTGGTTTTCACCTGCTCATATCTTCTCACCCAGGGCTCTATAGTATTCTTTTCTTTGACAATTAAAGGATATCATCAATTCATTCATGCATTCATTCACTAAATATTTTATTGAGTGCCTACTTTCTGACAGACACTGTGATAGATTCTGGAGAAAACAGTAGTGAACAAAACATACCAAAATCCTTGCCCTTGTAGATCTTACAGTTTAGTAGTAGTAGATAATACACTCAAAACAAGCAGTATATTGGATGGTTTTATTTATTTATTTTTTCATTTTTAAAAAATGTATTTTATTAAGTGAGATGGACAAAAATAAAGCGCAGGAGGGAATAGACAATGGTGGGCTCATTGAGGAGAGTTCTAATATTAAAAATCCTAGCTAAGAATGGCTTCGTTAAGGTGAAGATGACAAAGGAATGTGCCAGGTGGGTATATGGAGTAATAACAACACAAACATAGCTAACAGCAGCCAGTATAAAGGCCTTGGAAAGAATTATGCCTGGAGTATTCAGGAGATAAGAGAAAGCTGCTGTGGCTAGGAAAAAAAAATGAGTAAAGGGATAATTATAGAAACTGAGGCCAAAAGATCATGGAGAAGTTAGACATTATAGGGCTTTGTGGACCATTGGAGGTCTTTTACTCTGAGCAAGGTGGAAAGGCATTGGAGAATTGTAAGCAGAGGAATAATCTTTCTTTAATAGGATTAATCACTCATGTCATGTGGCATGTTAAGAGAAAAACAGAATGCAAGGGGCAAGGAGGCAAGTTAAGGCACTTTTACAGTAACCCTAGGGAGAGAGGATAATGGTTTCGACCAGCTGGCAACCATGGAGGTAGTAAAAATGTATCACATTCTGGACTTATGAGGATAGTACTCACAGGATTTGCTAGAGAAAGGGTCCTCAACCCCAAGGCCACAGACTGTACCAGACCAGATCCATAGTGGGCCGCACAGCAGGAGGTGAACACCTAGCTGGCGAAAGCTTCATCTGTATCTATAGCCTGTATTTATAGCCACTCGCCATCACCTACATTGGCACCTGAGCTCCACCTCCTGTCAGATCAGCAGCGGCATTAGATTCTCATAGGAGAATCTATGCACTTGAATGATCCCAAAACCATCCCCCATCCCCTGGTCCGTGGAAAAATTGTCTTCCACAAACCGGCCCCTGGTGCTGAAAAGTCTCCGTTGTGCCAGAGGATCAGATATTGAGAGAGAGAAGGAGGTGGGATCCCCTCCTCCCATCCTACCCAGCATTATTTCTTATATAACACATTTGGCTTTCCTGGATTTATTGTTTATTTTGCAGGAATGTTCCTCAAGGAATTATTCCAGATAGACTTTATGGCTGATACATTTTCTGAGTCCTGGCATATTTTTAAAAGTCTTTATTTTTACCCTTATTCTTAAATGATAGATTGTATTTAAAATTATTTTCACTCAGAACTTTGAAGATACTACCCCATGGTTTGCTAGTTTCCATTGTTGCGGGTGAGAATTTTATTGTCAGTCTTCTGGTTCTCAGTCTTGATTTTTCCCAGAAACTCTTCAGACTTCGTTTAGCCTTCAAGTTCTGCTGTTTTACAACCAAGTGCATAGGTATTGTCTCTTTTTCTTCCATTTGCTCAGCACTTGATGGGTCCTTTCAATTTGAAGACCTCCTACCTTAAAATCTGGGGCATTTTCCTTGGTAATTTTCTCCTGAACACTTTTTCTATTCTGTTTCTAGAATTCCAATTAGACAGATATCGAAACTTCTAATTCCATCTGCCATGGCTCTTAACTTTTTTACTTAACAGTTTCTTTGTCTTTTTGTGTGTATTTTTGGAGAGTCCTCAGTAAAATAATTTGTTTTACTAATTTACTTTGCAATTCATTCCAGTTAATACTGTTCATGGTGAAATTAACTCTGACATGACAGTGTATGTTCCTGGGAGCAATGTGCTTTCTGTATGTATGCGACCCTGTAGTTCGTCCAGAAACGAACAAACGTGGCAATTCTAGGGTGTGTGTATGCTTTATATATTCAACAAATCTAAAACAGAAATTTCCTGCAAAACTTTTAAATTCTCTCTGGTCTCCATGGTTCCCTCCTGTAGCTTGGTACCCAAAGACGTGTCTTCTTCGCCTTGTGATTTGTTATCCCCAGTTCCCCCAGATGTTGCTCTCTTTGTTGTACTATGTGTGTCCCTCCTTTAGCATTTGGTGGTTTCCTCATCTGTTTGGTAAATTTTGGGGTGATTTGTTCATTTTTGTGTTTTAAAGTTCGATCGCCTGCTTGAGTGTTCAGTAGCTTTCTGCCAATGATTATGAGGGAGGGGCAAGGGTGCTGGTGCTTATCCTCTGGTGCAGGTGCTCTCCTTCCCTCCTCAGAGCCAGCAACTACCTTTGACATGGCACTGCTCTGCAGCCCAGGACTGCATCCTTGCTGCTTTAGCCTGGGGCACATGCCTCTGTTGACTGATGCTTAGCGCAAGCTGGGGGTTGGCAGGGTGGGGGCGGGGGGTGGGGGAGGATGAGGGCCTCATTGGCCCAGCTGTTCCAGATGCAGCTCATTGCCTAATCATCCTGATGTGTGTCTGAGAGTGTCCATTGACTGGCTTAAAGCTCTCTTCTAACCAGCCCGACTTTTGCAGCTGTTTTCTGTGCTACATGCAGCTCCACCTGGAGCTTTCTTCAGTTTACTCCCTCCACACTCTCCCCTCCCCCGCTATAAATTTGACCTTGTCTGCTTCCAGGAGACTGCTGATAGTCTTTTCTTACTTCCCATGCATTTACAATTTGTATTTGTTAAAGTTAAATGTTGTTTCCTCATAAAAGTTTTCCCCAACCATCCAATTAAAGTAACTTCCCAATTACTTTCTACCATATCACCTCGGGTTATTTTCATTATAGCATTTGTTTATGCCTGGTATTTACTTTTGTCGATCTTTCCAGATCTAAATGTAAACTTTACTAGGGGCCTTATGTGTTCTGTTTACTGCTTTATCCCAAGTGGGATACAGTGTCTGGTATATAGTAGACATTCAGTATGATAGTTGAAATAAGTGGCTTCCTATCTTTTTTTTTATGTATCACTTTTGCTTAAATTATACAAGTTTTAGATTTTATTATAGAAACCAGGTTTAGCAAACAGTCTATGTTAACCTCTCTGACCAAAAAGAAAACCTTTATTAACCAAATAATTGTCTTTGACCAAAAAGCTATATATATTAATCCATGGACTAATATAAAATGTAAAAGTCTTAACCTCCAGCACTTTGGTCCACATGTCATTAAAACAAAGTTTGGTGGGAAGTAAAGCAAAGCTTTGATTTTCTAAGAACAACATTACCAAATGACCAGAAAAGGTTGTAATTCTATTTGTTTATAGTTTCTATGACTATATGAGATCAAGTCTATTCTCAAGTAACTTGTAGGTTAAAATGTATCTTATCTTTTATGCCATATTATTATGGAGCTCCTTTAGCAAACTCAAATTTCCAAATTCTTAAATTAGGTTAAAGATTCACTCTACCAAATAAAATTTTTACTTTTGTTTCCTATATCTCTTAGAGTAAATTTGGTAGCTTTGGTCAGCTGACCAGCCAACATGTGATAGTAATGAACAATTTTTCAATTTAAAATAATTATTTTGCCTCTACTGGTATGGCTCGGTTGGTTGGACGTCATCCTGCAAAGCAAAAGGTTGCCAGTTCAATTCCTGAACGGGGCACATGCCTGGGTAGCGGATTAGATACCTCTGGTTGGGGCACATACTAGAGGCAACCAATCAATATTTCTCTCCTTCTCTTTCCCCCTCCCTTCCCCTCTCTCAGTAAATAGGTAGGTAGGTAGATATTTATTTATTTATTTATTTATTTTGGGGTTTAACCCCTTAATTAAATATTAGATTGAAAAACTAGAAAAGTCCACTTAGATATAATCAAATTCACTGCTCATATAATAATTTCATGCCTGAAAATTCCATGTTTTAGCAAGTTTTGAGTATGCCTCTATTACTATGTATTTTTAGTCCCTACATAATGTTACAAAATAATATAACACTTTACAAAATAATATTGATGTTAAAAAAAGATTTATGAGAATTTATTCTAATAAACTGAAGAATCCTTTTTGAATATGGTCTCACAGCAAAATAAAATATAATGGTAAATGTATTAAAATATTGTTTTTATTTTCTACATAGAGATTAAATTTATTTCCACATTTCTCTTGGAAAATGTTTTAGTTTTTGAAAAAAAGAGGAAGTCTCTTTATAGAAAACAATTAATTTATCTGTTCCATAAAAATACTATTTATACATGTGCAATTTGGAAATCTGTAGTTACTTATACCATCGAGAATGAATTTAAATCTTACACCATTAGCCTCTTTATAATTCTGAGGAAGTTATTTTATTTTTTTGTACTTCTTTTATTATTAGGCAAAGATGCACTTTACACAATTCCAGTGAAAAACATTCTTGCTGTGGAAAAACTGGAAGATAGCTCTTTCAACAAGAAAAATGTGAGTTACAGAAATAAGTAAAACTTTTTAAATTGCATATAATTACCTACTCAAAAATTTTCAAGAGGTTGGTCATTTTAGTATTTGCCAATTAATCATCAATACTCTATCATTGCTGGTTAGGTCTCTGTCTTAAAATTGTCCATTATTGTTGATGCTTTGTATAGTCTGCCTAGCTTATTAAGTTAAAGGTACTTTTCTCAATATTACCCTATGAAACTTTTCAGTTTGACATTCAAGTCTTGTAGTAATATAGTCAACCAATCTGTACAGTTTTATCTTCTGCTGCCACTCACTACATACCATTATACTCCAGCCAACCAAGAGGATTTTCTTCTTTTTCTGTATTTTCCCGCTGCTTTGCCTTTACTTACACTTTTTTCTCCAAGTAAAATCCCCTCCCTTAATTCCTATTTTATGATAGTCTGTTCCTTTGGGCATGTGTGGTTTCTAAAAATTATATAATAATGTACTATTTAGTATCATGTGACTTAGATTGCTTGACATGTAACAGTTCAAGATACCTGAGCCAAGCAAACTCTATTTCTCTTATATACGTTTTCCTGTTTTGTACTATGTGTTGGTTTTGATACTGTTACTAACTTTTTATCTGAATTGCCTATAAAGATGTTCCAAGTCATACATACGGAGAAACCACTCTATGTCCAGGCAAATAATTGTGTGGAAGCTAATGAATGGATAGACGTGCTCTGCAGGGTGAGCCGATGCAATCAGAACAGGCTCAGTTCTTATCATCCCTCTGCATATCTGAATGGCAGCTGGCTCTGCTGCCAGGAGACCAGTGAAAACGCTCGAGGCTGCAAGCCCTGTACTGCGTAAGTGTCTTCTGATTTAAAAAGCAGTGTTTCTTATGTGGCCTAGCTATCCAATGGAGTGTTAGCCATGAAGGGGAATGGAGTAGTGATATATGTTACAACATACATGAACCTTGAAAACATGCAAAGGGAAAGACACCAGACACCAAGATCATATACTGTGTGTTAACATTTATGTAGTGTCCAGAATGGGTTTCACTGTGTGGAACAGCTGTTGTCTCCCTGTAGACTTCAGAAGTAACACATTGCTATTGTGATGAAGCACAGGTTATGAAAATTATTTTACTTCTAAATTCCCCTCCTTTTGATTAGAGTTACATAATAACCAAACCTCTGTTGGCCCTGTTTAATTTTTTTTTTATATTTATTTTAGAGAGGGAAGGGAGGGAGAGAGAGGGAGAGAGAGAGAGGGAGAGGGAGAGAGAGAGAGAGAGACACATCAATGTGTGGTTGCTAGGGGTTCTGGCCTGCAACCCAGGAATGTACCCTGGCTGGGAATCGAACCTGGGACACTTTGGTTCCCAGCCTGCGCTCAATCCACTGAGCTACGCCAGCCAGGGCTGGCCCTGTTTAATTTAATTATAAAGTGAGACTAAGTTTCTGAGGTTCCTTCTGCAAAATTCTGTTGTTTTTTAAATTTCAAATCTCCAAAAGTCTTTGGTATGTCAACAAAGTGAAATTTTTCCAATGTCTTTAATTTTGTTTTTATCATAGAGGTATCCCTGCAGACATCCAAATAGATATTGATGAAGACAGAGAAACAGAAAGAATTTACTCCCTTTTTACCCTCAGTTCACCTAAGCTACAGAAAATGGAAGGTAAATGTATGATTAAAATGTTTTTATGTAACCATGATCCTTAATTACCAGTTCCTGAAGTATTACTTTGGCATTATCTTAAAAATTAAAAATACTCATAGATTTATCAAAATGTTACTTATATGAAAGTTGACAAACTCTCCAAGGTGGGCATTTTTCATAGATATTCATGAAGTAAAAATACTATTTTTGCATAAATGTGATCATAATTAATAAATTGAATATATTTTGGTTATCTGTGAATTTCCAGGGGAAATCTCCCCACCTTAAGACACTTGAAAAGTTCTTATCTCTGTTACTAATTACATTTTGAAATACAGTTGTCTGATCAGAGATTTCGCTGCTCATTGTAGAGGCTTGCGGAAGTATAGCAGTGTATCAAGGACCCCAGAAAGAGCCTGATGATTATTCCAGCTTCGTAATCGAGGATTCTGTTACAACCTTTAAGACAATTCAGCAAATAAAAAGTGTCGTTGAGAAGCTAGATGAACCTCATGAAAAGTATAGGAAGAAAAGATCAAGCAGTGCAAAATATGGGAGCAAGTAAGTATTTTTAAAACACTTTCAAAATATTTTTAAACATAGTTTGAGATTGACCGTACTGCTGTGTACTCACGAAATACAGGCCTCCTGCTTACCTATGTCTTTCAAGACCCAGCTCAGAAGCTTTCTCTTGTGTAAGTTTCCCTGGCCACTCACACAGTGATCTTCATCTTTTTAGGCCTGGTACCATTTCCTTATGTTGGTGCTGTACTTCATCACCGCTTCTTATGTCACACTCTAACGTCACATTCATTAAGTGGAATACTCAGTAGCCTGTTGTTGTTGTTTTTTGTTTTTTTTTTTATTTTTACTGATCCTCTCCTTTCCTTAGTTTCTCCCATAATGCCTTATACATAGTAAATAATTAAAACAAAAAAACCTGATAGAAAAGTGCCAAAATATTTTATAGTAGATTTTTGGATCCATCTCAGATGTACCTGGATAAATGGATAACATTTATCAGGAGCTGACTCCAGCACCAGGAACTGTGCCTCATACTTCACATCACATCACTTAGATTGTTTGGGGCACAAGTAACAGAAAGCCCCAACTGAAGGCCTAACCAATAAGAAATCTTTTAAGTCTAATTTTAACTTCTACAGTTGTTAGTTCACCAGCTAACACTCATCAAGGTTCATCCAGCCACTTGGCCATCCTCAACAGGGTTTCTGTCTTCCTCAGGCTTGTCCCTTCATGGTCATAGTTGGGGTACAGCAGTTCAAAGACTCACATTTTTCTATAATAGTGTCCAGAGGGGGAAGGCTGTTTTCTCCTCACTGAGAGAGAGGAGACTTATCTACAGTTGGCCTCAGCTTCCCCTAGACTACAGGGCTGCCCAGGACTAGCACTAGAATCTGGTTTCTGTTGACATAGAACTGAATAGGTAGCAGATGGTTCTTAGACCAACGAATAAGTGTTTGCCACAATGTACACTCTCCCATTGATCCTCACATCAGCCTAACATTGTTATTTTCCCATTTACAGCTGGGGGGACTGAGGCTCAGGCAGGGTAAGTGCCTTGCCCAAGGTCACACAGCTGATTAGTGAGGGGACTTTGAGTCCTGGCCCCACCGTTTTAAATATTTTTTAATTGTGTGGATTAATAATTATATTTGTGATTTATGAACAATAAAAATGAGTTTGACAGGTGTAAATGTTTGTGTTTTCCCTGAATAGAAGGCTCAGTACATTTGAAGGGTATTGTCAACATCGCACCCCCATCTTCTCTATGCTGGTGTAATCACTTCTCTTCCACCGGCAGGCATGCAGTTTGGGAGCCCCAGGGGGTCTCTGAGTGAGGTCCTAGCCAGGGCTGGACCTGCCTTAAATAGTAGGTCCCCCTCATGCACACACGCTGGGCCCCCTCCCAGCTTTATTTTCTCCATTAAAAAATACCAGTCTCTGTGTACTAAATATTTTATTTATTTATTCTATTTTCCCTATACTAAAATGTAAGCTCCATGAGGTCAAAGGGTTTTGTTGATTTTGCTCACTGTTGTATCTGTAGCTTCTGAAATAGTGCCTGATGTTTAATAGGCGGTCAGTAAATACTTGTTGAGTTAATGAAATAACTCGCAAGACTTGGCATGAGAGAGTATCAAGGGAAAACTACACATACATAATGGAGAGTATGAGATATTTGTCACTTTCTAAAATATTACATTCTTTACCTTTTGAAAAATGATTTTCTTTTCTTTTTTCCTGTAGGGAAAACCCAATTGTTGGGAAAACATCTTAAGAGTTTGACCATTTGATTCAGAAGAACTGGAAAATACTATCTTTGTTGGAGTTTCTTGATTCATCGTATATTTTATTCATAGTATTTAAGAATGAACACTGGCTTCAGTTTTACCTGCATTCACATTGTATTTAATATTTAATAATTGAAATTAATTGTTTGGGAATCCTTGTATTGATGCATTACTAGGGAATTTGAAACCCAAGATTCCCTTCATATCTATGTGTTGAAAGCCATGTTTCTGCAACTTCTTTTTAGTAGAAAGAATCTTCCTACAAAAGCTTTGTTTAGAAAAAAAGAACTCCATAGCTGGAAACCATTTCTTCTTGTAACACCTCATGTTCAGTGGACTCTTCACTACCATTAGTGCCTGCTCTATACTGCCAACATTGTGTTGTTTTTCTAGAAAGTCCCAGTCCATGACAACTCAGAGCTTTCCATTTAGTTCATCTAGACCATCCATCTTTGAAATAGAAAACTAATAATAAAAGGTTTTCCTTTGGCCCAGTAGTCCTTACAGATTACATTAGGGACAATGACAGACACTTTAGAAAACTGCCAGAGCATCCTCAAAAGTTGATAGACCCGTTTGCTTATTTTAAGATGGAAACAGAACTCAGACAGGAGGAATCAGGGAACGTGTGCTATCAAGTGCATCTTGTTTACATTTGGGATGAGTGGTGGCAAGTGAAATAAAATGAGACCACTAAATTTTTTTCATTGTTTTAAATATCAGGTACTCATTTTTCTTGAGGGTTCAGATTCACGTGACTTCTAAGGACATTTCTTCTGAAAAAGAAGAGAAAGTAACCAGTGAAAGAAGGTGGAGGGAAAACCACCTCACTTCACCTGCCACTCCATTCATTATAAAGGGCCACCACCAATACGCCCTCCTCCTGGCGTGACTGTTCTCGAGCGGAGAGCTAACTCAAGAACAGCCACTTGGCGCACTTTAATAATCGAGGCTCCCAGCCCCAGATTATACTTTAGATACTCCAAGGTATCTAATCTCTACGATCAGTTCAATGATCACTGTTTAAGTCTAGAAATAGTGCTTTCCTGAAAATGTTTATATTTCATTCCTGTTTCATTACTGCCTGCTAGCCGAATGGAATTTGGACAAGCATCTGTTTGAATCCTGTTTACCATACTTTACTTTTATCCTAAAAACCATAACCTGTAAGTTAGCAGTCGAAGCAAGTTGCCGTGTTGAAGTTGAGAGAGACACATTTTGCTTCATCAGTATTAAAAGCCATGGTACTCTCTTATTTTGTCTTTTTACATTCAAACATTTTCTAAATGTGGTACTTTGAACCTGGGGGTATTTACATGTTCCTGTTTAAAACTGTGACTTATTAATGTAAGTCTAGCTAGTAGTGCTTTTTCTGTTGTTGTTTCCCTGAGCATAAGCTATATTTTAAGATATACTTTACCAATTATGTTATTTGTGAGTAATTGTTATTAAATTATGTTGTTACTAGGTAGGAGTTTTAAAGACCATTGGCACATAATCAAAGTTATTCCATAAATGATTCTAATTGAGCAATGTATTTCTCTGAATGACTTGTAAAAATCAATTGGTTTTATTAAGAAACAGCTCTCATGTGCATTATGGTAGGTTATTCCTGGTCTATTTTAAAGAGAAATTTGAAAGAGTTCTTTAAATTTTATGGCCTTGTAGATTCTATAAAGTACAGTGCTTTAGAAATATGAAGGAATTTAACCATTCAATAAATTTTTTGCTGTTGAATTTCATTTAGCTTGCAGTTTCCTTTTAAGAGTCTCCAAACTGTCACCCTGAAAAGGACACATGAGCATTGTCCACACCACTCGACACTCTTGGTGGTTTTTAGTCCTCTGCTGTTCTTATTCAAGGCAAAAGAAATATTCTTCTAGAATTTTGTAATGTCAGATCTCCAAATAGGAGTGTTTTTTACAGATCCTGGCATTACCAGGGAGACCAAGGCTGTGTGAACACGTGAATCTGAAGGGAAGGTTTCAGTCATCCAGTTATCTTCTCCACGTGACACTTTTTAGCAGCCACTTTTACTGGAATTAATCAGGCTGGCACAGCCTAAAAAGTCATAATGTGAAATTAAATTAATTTTCTTTGAAAGTCTTCTGAAATAAGAAGCTCTGTCAATAGGACCCTAGATAACCAAGGTACTTCTGATTTTTACTACCTGATCTGTTTCTCTGCCTTTCCCACCCCCTTGGAAAAATACATAGCAGCTCACTTTACCCCAAAACCCTGTAAACCCCAAGAAGGAGAGAGGGATGATAAAGAGAAACTCTTGCCATAAATGCCAGTTCCAGGTCTTAGTTTAGCCATTTCTATCAGTTGAAATTGTGGTGATTTGTTGCTTGTTCTGTTGTTATTATTTGTTTTGTTTTTTGTTCAGCTTTGTTCTTTTAATATCCATTTAATATGACAATGAGCAATAGCAAAGTTTTTTACTCCCAAGTATATAATTTATCAAGTAGAATGATTTTATTTGCCAAAGAAATATGTTTATAATGTCATGGGTAATAGTTAAGTGTCAAACTAGGCTTTCCTCATGATATTAAAAAATATAACCAATGCTGTGGCTTTTGTTTCTGTTTGTGCCTAATTCCAGTCATTTATCAGAAAGGCTCATTCATGCCAGGTTTTAGAAAGAAGATTTTTTAAACAAGTAAAAAGCACCTTTCATCCGCTTTAACAGTACATCCTGTAAAGACAGAAATGCAACAAAGCTTCCTGGGTGTCCTTACAGTAGGTGAAAAACACACGACTCATTCTGGAGTTAAATTCCCAACCTTGATTGATATAATTTGCTTCCATTTTTATATATTGGTAATTAATATGTTGCTAGTAAATACTGGTTTTTACAGTGTCTGGTTTTAAAATGTAAGTTATCAAAACAATGTAGTGAATTTCTGCAACCATATCATATTGTTGAGAGCATATTTTTATTTAAATTTTATTTTCTTATCAAGAATATTATAAAAATTAAAGACTTTTGTAACTGTTGCTTAGAAATAACTCAAATAAATTACAAGAAGCCTGTCCATTCTTTGTGAGACCATACTTTCTTACTGACTTAGGAATTCTTATTTAAAATTAGTGTACCTTATCGGTTAGTAAGGGAACAGCAGAAGTGAGAAATCCCCAATTACAAAGAAGAGTGAAGCAGCCTGGAAGGAGCTCAGTATTCTTGCATTTAAGTAGGCTGGTGTTTGATGGACGGTGGTTGTCACCTGTTTATGCATTCAGCACATTTGGTTTGAGGACCCACAATGTGCCACACAGAGTCCCATCATCCCTCAGAGCCATGCACGTCCGATGTTCAGGAGCGTATTCCACTCCTGTCTGGGTAAACAGGTTAGAGCTGAGTTTTCAGCCTTCGTTAGACTTTTTGAAGGATGCCACGTTCTACTCTTCTTGAGAAGGTCAACGCCATAGCCTCTGGTCACTCAGGTCCCGCTCGGACTCTGCAGGGGAGCCTGCCCCACAGATCAGCTTTCGGTGCACACTTCCAGGGGTTGGACATAGGTCGTGTGCCATTTTGCTGAGCCGTCTAGAGAATGTGAAGTGACGGCACCAAAAAACAGTTAGAAACTTGTGCCCCCAATGTGGGAAGCATGAGTCCTTCCCAGTAGGACTTCAACAGCCCTCTTAACATCTCTAAGTAAACCTTCATAAAACAGCCCCTGCGACTCCACAGGGGGCTGAGGTTAGTGAAGAAGAAGGGATAAGATTCTGAATCTCCAAGGATCTTATTTTTATTGAAATACCAGACGCTCCCCTCACACTAGTCCGTGTGTTTGGATAGAACTCGTCAGAAACATTAAAGAACTAGGTATCTATTCCATGATGTAAACAAGCTAGTTCTTTGAAGACAAAGGGGGCCATACCTTAGGTGGGTTCCAAATAAGACACCTGAGGCCAGGCCAAGCCTGTTTATGCATGCACAAGAATAAAAAATGAGACACAGCTCGGCACTGCTGTGTGCAGGTCTGCTGCTTCTCTACTGTAGGTCAGTGGCCAGTGCTGACCCTTCAGGGTACATATGATGTGCTTCAAAACAAACTGACCAGTGTTCTGAGTCTTGATTCCTCATACACATCTGCTCCGGAGGTTTGGGCTTCTCTGGCCAAAAGGTTCATTCTTCGCCTTGTCATCTTGCATTCGACTTCTTAGTTGGTGACACCATTTGCTACCATATTTTAAGCTTATGTGTATATTTTATATCAACAGCAGAGAAAGTGTAACCTGTTTAATTACACTAAAGTCCTGTTAAGATTTCATTTTCAGCCTTGTTGAGATCCTCTAGGTTTCATACCATTAAAACCTTTGTACTTTCTTCATATTGCTCTGCTTTTGCCTGGGGCGAGCAACACTCTCGTCCAAATTTAATGTATTTCTCAACTCCTCCCAGAACTGAGAGGCCACACTGCCTGGACTGTTAAAGAAACACCTGTAACTTTAGACAGCCTTAGTGCAGGATGAGTAAGTGACCCCTGGAGAGGCATTTCGGAATCTCTGGAGGAGAGAGGAGGCTCAGGGGTAGGAGGGTATACAGTTTAAAAAGTCATAGTAGCCCTGGCTGGCATAGCTCAGTGGATTGAGCTCGGGCTGCGAACCAAAGTGTTGCAGGTTCGATTCCCAGTTCAGGGTGCATGCCTGGGTTGCAGGCCATGACCCCCAGCAACTGCACATTGATGTTTCTCTTTCTCCCTTCCTTCCCTCTCTAAAAAATAAAAATAAAATCTTTTTTTAAAAAGTCATAGTCAATGTTACCATTTTACACTTAATTCAAACCACCACCTAATTTTGTAAATCAAAAAAAGCTTGACACAATCTTGACTGATACCAATAGATGAGACTGATTGTCACCCTAGTGTGGAGGCTGAGATACTTGTGTAAGTGTGAGACACTCGTTTTTAAAGTTTGGGGAGTACTGGAATATGGGCTAATGTAAACTTGTAAATCCTGATCCCAAGTCTCAGTTCCAAACTCCACGTGAAAGTGTGTGTCAGTAGTAAGAATACAGCCCAAAGCATTGCCTCCTTGGAACTCATGTCCTGAAGAGAGAAGGAAAACTGAATGAACAGTAAATCATGTCAGATGGCAGTAAGAATGTTGAAGCAAAGTTGAGCAGGGAAATGAGACTGGGAGAGGTGGGGACAGAATTTACAACTAGGCGGTTAGGGAAGGCCTCACCAGGAAGGAGATACTTGAATAGAAATCGAAAGAAGTGAGGAAAGGGGGTCATAAGGATATGTAGGGGGAAATCCTTTCAGGCAGGTGAAATAAAATGCCTGGTGTGCTCGAAACAGCAAGATCGGTGTGGCCAGAACAAAATGAGTGGGTGAAGAAAGGGCAAGGTAGACTAGGGGGAAGGTTTGGAGCAGCAGAGTAACGTGATCAACTCACCTTCAGATTGTTTTGGCTGCTGTGTGAGGAGACTCTCAGAGCGTGGGAGTAAGTATGGGACCCCGTGAGCTGGCATCCCAAGCATGTGAGAGAGTGGGGCTGGCTTATATTTGAGGGTAGAGCCAACAGGACCTGTTGACAGATGGAATGTGGGAAAAGGAAAGAGTCTAGGAGGCTCCAGTGGCCTAAGCAACTGGAGGAAAGGAGGGGACATTTACTAAGCTAAGGCTCCAGAAGATGTGTACATGTTATTTTCTGTGTCCACGTTAGTGACTCCTGGAAACCAGGTCCACTTAAATCACCTTGAAAGTACCAGCACATATTTTATCTAGTTTTATGCACTGCACATATCTTCCTTACTAGATTATAAATGATTCCAAGGATAGAGAGGGGCTTTATTGTACCCAGAGCCCCTTGCCCTCCGATGAGGAAGACAGTACTATTCCATGAATTAATAACATTCTACAGCTAGTGATGGAGTAGCAAGGGCCTTGGTTGAAAGTCACCCTAGAAATTACAATCTTGGTCAAATAACCCCTTTGGGCTTTGGTTTCCCTACACAGGTAAAATTTTAAAGTTGCTCTCTTTTAAGAACAAGACTTTGGGCCCTGGCTGGTGTGGCTCAGTGGATTGAGCGCCAGACTGCGAAGCAAAGGGTCATTGGTTCGATTCCCAGCCAGGGCACATGCCTGGGTTGCAGGCCTGGTCCCCAGTAGGGGGTGCATGAGAGGCAGGCACACATTGATGTTTCTCTCCCTCTCTTTCTTCCTCCCTACCTCTCTCTAAAACACACACACACACACACACACACACACACACACAAGACTTTGAGCCCTTGCTAGTCACTAAGCTCTCTGCTAAACCAAGAAACCCTAAGATGCTGCCCTCAAGTTGCTCACAGTCAGGCTAGAGACTGGACCAGAGTGACCTGAGGATTCCTCTACAACTTCAATAGCCAGACAACCCCCAGGATCCTCCCACTCACCCTCCACCCCAACTATTTGTGTGGACAATTCAGTACCTTTGGTGGACCCTTCCTAGGAGAATGTTCCCAGCTCTCCTCCAAAGCTCCACAACCATGGACCAATTTAGAAACACTGAGGGTCACCTGTTAGGCCCTGTAAAATTGTATTCTCCTCCTCTTCCTCCTATAACCCTTAGAGAAAATAATTGGATGGATGTGGGAAGCATTGTGCTAAGTGAAATAAGCCAGTCAGAGACAAGTACCATATGATTTCACTCATGTGGAATCTAATAAAAAAAAACTGAACAAGCAAAATAGGACAGACTCTTAGATAGAGAGCAGGCTGACAGCTGGGTAGGGGTGGGGGATAGAGTGGAAAAGAAAAAACTTGGGGATATAGACAACAGTGGTTGCAGGTGGGAAAGGGGTGGAGGAGGGAGAGGAGGGTGTAGGGGAGATAAATGGTAATGAACAAAGACTTAACTTGGGGTGGTGAACACACAATACAGTGTACAGATGATGTAAAATTGTGCACCTGAAACCCATATAGTTTTATTTAACAGTGTCACCCCAATAAATTCAGTAAAGGAAAATAAATGGATTGGAATATGTTTTTAGAAAAATGAATAGCGTCCTTGTCATTAATGAAATAACTAACTGACAAATGGAACAGCCTGGTGTAGGAAAAGAGCCCAGCACCTGTTCTGCCAAGGTGGTGGTAAATTAGCTGAACAAGGAGACCATTGTACTGGGGTGACTCTGATGTCGTGGTGGACTGTATAAGTAAACCAAAATCTAAGACTAAATGCCTCAAGATAATGAAATCAAACACTAAGGACCACCAATCACAAACTGCCAACTAGGCTTTAAGATACAACCAACCAATCCCTCTCTCTGCATCTGCACCTTCTCTGTACGTCTTTCCCCTGGTTGGGCAGAGAGCTCCTGTATGCACTTCTGGTTTGACACTGCTCGATTCCAGCTGGTTTTTGCTCAAATCAACTCTTAAAGTGCTCAGTATGCCTCAGTTTATCTTTTAACAGTTCAGAGACAAAAAGCTGCTTTAAAACAGCAAAGCTAACACTGACTTTTGAAGGTGATTTCACTTGGACCCAAATAAGGAGCCGAAGGGACTGACAGTCACATTCTCAGGTCACAGAAGACATTTTGGGTGATAATTGGCCCTTTCAGTGATCAAA